GTAACTATGGTCCCCTAGGCTGGTCGTTGGCTCAATTTTTTTTTGTTTTGTTTTTGTACTTGGCTTTGAAAAGAGATTTCTCAAGGGTCTTCAGGAGGGTAATGTCCTCAGCAGCATCCTGACAATATATGCAGTAAAAGGTTTTGTGAGGGCACACTGTAGTGGTATTGCTTGGTCAGAGTGGTATTGCTTGGCTCGGAAACTCAACTGGGGAGGTTGGGCAGAGGATGCGAAGGCGGCACTATTTATTACTTTGCTTAGGTCAACATGGGCCTTTAATCTTATTCTCACGTTTGAACTAAGTTAGCAGCTAGGAAAAGGAAGAGAGCAAGCCTCAAAGGGTCAGAGGACTCTCCTTTCCTATGCAAAAGCACATCAAGTCCTCTGAGACTGGCTGACAAATCCAAACTTCTCAGGCCTGCTGCCTGAGCTGCTTTGCACGGTGCCCGGTAATCAATAACTGTTTGTTAAAAGAACACACAATTAACAATAATCCAAGCAATGTTTTGTTTTGCACATATATAAAGCTCATTAAAAGATATTGAAAGAAATCATGATACCTTACCACTAAGAAATGTCTTTTACCTTTTAGTGAGATACATTTTTCATACTTGCTTTTTTAAGTTTCTATTCTCAAATATCTAGTGAGAAGGGTAACAAAATTTAGATAAAACTATTTTTGGTGAAAATAAATTTTATCAATTAGAAGAAACATTTTAAAACCTCTCCCCCAGGTTTCTGTTTCATGAGGATTTCTGTTTAAAGGCTCACAACATTACAAGTTTTCGGTATGTAAGGTGGCACCTAGGTCTTGGAGTGTGATGCATTTCCATCATTGTCTAAAAATTCCTTTGGTGGGGCGCCTGGGTGGCTCAGTAAGTTAAGCGTCAGACTTTGGTTCAGGTCATGATCTCACAGTTCGTGGGTTCGAGCCCCACACTGAGGTCTGCGCTGACAGCTCAGAGCCTGGAGCCTGCTTCATATTCTCTGCCTCTCTCTCTCTCTGCTCTTCCCTGATTGTGCTCTTTCTCTCTCTCAAAAAAAATAAACATTTGGGTAACCTGGGTGGCTCAGTCAGTTGAGTGTCCAACTTCAGCTCAGGTCATGATCTCACAGTTTGTGAGTTTGAGCCCCATGTCGGGCTCTGTGCTGACAGCTCGGAGCCTGGAGCCTGCTTCGGATTCTTTGTCTCCCTCTCTCTCTGTCCCTTCCCTGCTTACGCTCTCTCTCTTCCAAAAATAAACATTAAAATTTTTTTTAAATTTTTTTTAATGTTTATTTTTGAGAGAGAGAGAGACACACAGAGTGTGAGCGGGAAGAGGGTCACAGAGATGGAGAGACACAGAATCCGAAGCAAGGCTCCAGGCTCTGAGCTGTCAGCACAGAGCCTGATGCGGGGCTTGAACTCACCAACAGTGAGATCAGATATGAACCAAAGTCGGACACCCAACCGACTGAGCCACCCAGGCACCTCTATTTTTAAGTAAATAAATAAACATTAAAAAAAATTTTTTTTAACCATTTTGGGTGTGAAGGGGGCTTGTGTGGCTCAGTCAGTTTAGCCTCCGAGTAGTGATTTCAGCTCACATAACAATCTCACAACAGCGCCCCTCATTGGGCTCTGATGACAGCATAGAGCCTGCCTGGGATTCTCTCTCTCTCTGCCCCTACCCTACTCACACAAATCTTTTGCTGTCTCTAAATACATAAACAAACAGTAAAAAAATATTTGGGTGTGAAATGACACAGGCCTCTGTAAACTGTATAAAATTGAGAAGCCAAGCACAAAGACCCACAAAGGTAGTTGAGGAAAAAAGCAGACCACAACTATGAGTATTAGGTCAAGAGTTTTATTTCTAACTTAACCATGCTGCATGTATACATACAATATCAATATATACAACTTCAACAAATACAATTTATACATAAAATACAATTAAAGTGTGGCTTTTGAAATTAATGCAACAAACTCACTGGAAGATTTTGCAATTTTGGCGAGTATACGGTATTGTAGTAGTGCTACTGAAGTTATTAAATGGTTTAAAATTAATCAAACTACAGTGTAAGTTCAAAGGCACTAGGAAGATCTATATTTTCTTCTAGCATTTAAAAACAAAAAATAACTAAAAAGGAAACAAATGTATACATTAAGAAATCGGGCAGGCACTGGCATGCTTAAATGTAAACTCTACCCATTCCTTAATTCACAGCCTTGTAGGAAAGAGAGGGACTTCCCTTTATGTAAGAGTTAAGGGGGAAGATATTTTTAAAAGACTAAAAATGACAACAACCCAAAAACCATAATCATAAATTTAAAAACATGTTACAGATCAAGTAGAACCACTCCCCTCCCCCAAAGTAATCTTAAATTTCTTGCTGCGAAAAAAGGTCCCCTTTTCCAAGATGATATACCTTGTCAAATAGATTTTACACACAGATGCAGGCCACCCCCCATATCTTCATTAATCTTATATTTTATAAGAATCTAAACAAAAATGGGGGGATATTATTATATTTTAATATCCTAATAATGAGTATATATAATTAAGCTTTTAAAACAGGGTTTATTAAAGAACATATTGCAATTAACATTCTATCAAGGCTCCTTTTAATAAATAAATATTACTTTTTTAAATTAAAGAAAAAATACCCCTTCAATAACCTATTTATATGTGACACTCATAAAATTGGCTATTTGTTTCAAATAATGAGGAAGTATCTTCATCTATATCCTTTCACGAAATTAACACTGAAGTTACAAAATATTTCATTTTATGGACAAAGACACAGTACATGTGAAGAAACCACAGAATTGCTATGATCAGAGCTAAATGAATAGCTCTAAAGTCAGTATCCTATGTTTTCATATGGATATTCAAGCCTGACTTGAATATCTTATTTTGGTATTTCATAGAGTAATTATATAAGGTACATCTGGTATAATCAGTTCTGATGTTAATGTTTAAAAAAAAACAAACTGCTAACATGGCCTGTTTTGTAAATTCCTCAATGTTTTGACTTTTTACAGATTTTTGATATTGCAGCAGAAGTGGAATAGAAAAATAAATCTAACACACTGGCTTCCATTTTCTATGTTTTAAAGCTTAATGCAAAAGTTGTTCCTTCCCCACACCAAAGGGAATATAGTGAACGATACTGTAATAGCCTGTCACAGAGTCTTATGATGACAGATGGGAGCTATGCTTGCTGTGAGCACAGCATAACCAAGCGGCGGAATCACTATGCTGCACACGTGAAACTAAGGTAACACTGTGTGTCAATGCTACTCAAATAAAAACAATAAAAAATTAACTGGATGGTTAAAGGCTAGAAACGTGGACTTTTAGAAAGAAGTATGCATCTTTTTGATCCTACTGGTAAAATTAAGATTTCTCTGGAGTATTTACTAACCATGAAATGTGCATCTACAACTGCCAAGACATTCTGCGCACACAGAGTTTTTACAAGACATACATTCACCTCTAGTCTTCACAGTACCTGGACGATGCCCCACAGAGCGTAAAGTCATAACCTCCTAACTATCTTACACGTTACAAACAAAATGCTGCCAGTTATATGCAGTTCTTATTACCTACAAAATAGTCACCATACACAGGACATTTGGTACACCACCTTTGGAATGAACTTTAAATTTAGGGATGCATTTTTACTACCACCTCACAATCATGCCACCTATACACTCACCCCAATCTATAGGCAGCTTTTTAACTACAAACCAATATTTAACCAAACTTACTAAAATACTGTTGACTTAATAAATACTAATTTATGAAGTCTCAAACTTGCAACCAATGGACTTTAGGGCTGGTCATATAATTTTAAAACTCATAAAAGATGTATTAAGTGGCTTAGGAGTAGCATAACTTACAAAAAAATTAAAAGTTTGTAAGCAGTCACCATGAGAACAATTCTATTATAACTTATTTTACTATAAAAGTAAAAACTTTTTATTTTTAGAGGAACATGGTTTAAGTGGGATTTGTGAATAAAAGAAATTCAGGGAGAAATATTTCCTTTTTATAAAATATGAATAAAAGCAAAACAAATGTTTTAAAGTCAAAGAATTAAAAGATATACATATATCTTGCTTTGATTGCATTTTGTGGAAAATGGAGAGCTTTCTCATTTGGGAGATACAGAGCAATTCCTACCACAATTTAGACCTGAGATGCAGAAAAGCATCCATTACTTATATTTCAAAGTGAATTTTAGAAAATACACATATATGGGCAAAGATGAATGATCAGTATTTAGCTTCTTAATTTTCGGCAACTGTGACTCTTTTATATCTACGTACAAACTCAATGCTTCAAGAGAACATGAAACTAGAACAAAAAAAGTGTATTTCAATTGAAGTCAGAGTGGCATAAAAAGGTCAAGAGAGGTCCAGAAGAAACGTATTTCCAACGTTTGCGTTTTAAACATGTATACTTCTCAAGTGTGACTGATGAATTACAAAATTTTCCAAAGATCAAAAACGTAAGTTGTCTCATACTTAAAATGCAATGAATTTTAGTATAAAAATTAGAAGATTTTTAATTAGGCTAGGTGGGTGTTAGGATCAAATAATTTCTTAGATATGCAGCCCATACATTCACATAGGACAGCACAACGTAGGACAACGAGATACGCTACTTTCTGTGTGCAAAACAGGACGTATATATTTTTTTCTATCTTGCCTATCCAGTCACCTAATTATACAGTAGTTAAATCACGAACAGATTTATGTATACATTTAAACTGCAACTCTCTAGAGAATGAGCTGCTCCCTCGAGTTCCCTGCACAGTATAAACTAGAGTGTAATATGAGAATCTGAACAATTACCAGTTGTACAATTTTAATATGACATTAATATATATATTGACTAAGACTTATGAGGCAAGTTATTAGTTCCAGTCTTACTCCATAATTTACAGTTTCCGTTATTTGAAATTACACAACAGTCTTCAGTGTTTTAATTAAAGATTTTGTCCAGGCATGAGAATATCACTAATTTTTATTGTGACTTTAAGTCTGTAATGTTTACTGAAGTAAAGAATCAATTACAGTTTCAGGTTTTGCAGAACGCTTTCTGTTTGGAGAAGAGAAAAAGAAAAAATGAATGTTTTCCTAAAAGACTGAATGCAAACACTTTACATTATATAGCATTATACATTATATAGCAGGTAATACAGAGTGGTCTAGAAACAAGCCAAGGTTTGACATGTTTGACATGTTAAGAGATCAATTAATGCCCACCATTTTAGGCCAGAGGAAGATCACCTGAAGTAGGTACAAGAGCCTGGCACTCCACCCTACCAATCAGAATGTAAGGAATTGAGTCGATGAAAACTTCTGAAATAGGACTAGATAGGCCAGGGCCAAGTGGGCTGTATGTTTGCCAGACCTGAGCCCCTTGATTACCTGTTCTGGTACAGGTTCATTCAGTGAAAAAAAGAGACACAAATCATATGAAACACCTTAGAGAAGCATGTGTACAGACTGATAGAAATACTACAGTAATGTATGGTGTTCACTGGAATTTTGCTTAGCACACTGAACTATGCATTTCTAATTTAGAGGAACATCACATTGAACATTATCAGGTAATATAATACAGTATCAACAAACCATTTACTGTGTATATTTGTCTATGTTTGGGGTCATCTATTGTTTTCTTAATACAAAAGGCTAATTCTGATACACAGAGAATGATAGGTTTGGGTCATCTAATGTTGGCTCAAATTAATTTTTTATACATTAAATCATTTATCATCACACCTGTGTTGTAATTTTTCTTATTCTCTGCAGAGTCAAGAGGAAAACATCTCTATTAAAAACGGAAAAATGAAAACATGTAATGGGATCTTTCTTCATTCACTACGAATATTACATACATGGCTTCTGTTGATATATGAAAAGTTTTTAACAACCGGCACCTGAATGCTAAGAAATGTAAAAATTCCTCCTTGATTCCTCCTCGAGTCACATATACCAAATTTATAGATATTAAGTTATGTCTATGATGTTATATAACACAAAAATATTAAAACCTTACAACTTCATCTGACTTAAAACTCAAAAGTCTACATACTCAAAGTAGGGGGAAAATAAGCTTATTATTTCCTATCATTTCAGGAACTCCAAGTGTTACAATCAGTTTAAATAAGCTGAATAGTACCTGATGAAGGGAAGGGAGAGAAGAAAGAAGTGCCAGCCCTGATCTCCCTGGGGGGTTATGTTATGATACATATAGACTACTCAACAGTCAAAGCCAAAACTCAAAGGAGAAGGAAAAATGGTCAGAAAAGTTTTCTTTAACTAGCAACTGAGAAGATCAAGGTTCTTGGGGTAACATTTATAACAGAAAAGCAAGCCAGCAAATATAAGACCTTGGAGTTGAATCAGGCAAATTAATTAGCATCTGACTAGAAGAATTATTATAAGAATTAAGGAATTAAAATAGGTAGCAGATGACTTCTAATACATTTGGATAGAACGTGTGTTAAAAAATAAACTCTAGTACTTAGAAGGGCCAAAGAAGTTGGAAGACTTGATTTGATTCTTTAGTTTTTAACTTACTCAAATCATAACTACATAAGGACTCTAATATTTATATAAATACATCTAAAATTCAGCTTTTTAATATAGCTAAAACATTTATTATGTTAACTAAATCTCCTCTAAACGTATCTACTTAGAATATCTCAGTGCTTTTGTCTTACAGTACTGAAAGAGAAGTCCTTACCTTCGCCCCGTCTTTGGCCTTGCTTTCCCCTTCGACGTCCGCGGCCTCTCTAACTTCATCAGGGACTGCCGGAGGCTCTCCTCAGTGTAGGCAAGGTACACGTGGGAAAGGTCCACTTCAAAGGGCTAAGTAAAGGGAGCAAACACAAGACACTCTTATAGGAAGGATTTAAACCATATGTGGGGAGAAGATTTAAAATGCTGAATAAACTCCTAGAAAAAAACTGCAGAAGAGCAAATAAATGTCTAAGGGTATCCTCTTTGAATGCCACTCATCTCAAACATATTCCCCACTGGTGGTAAATAAGGACCCTATAAATTATCTTCAGAGGAAAGGAAAATCATTATTGTTTTCCCTACAGCTGCTACTTCCTCTTGTTGGCCTAAGTCCAGGACCAGCTCTGAGAAGGAGACAGAGGCACTCTGGTCTCCAACTATCCCCACAAGGCCTGGAGAGGTGGGGAAGAGGCTCTGAAGAAGCCGCCATGCCTCTTGGGTGGTGCAAAGGGAAAGCCTGCCCTCACGACTGAGGGGAGCAGAAATGTCCTCTATCGCCCCTCCTAGGGCTTCTCTTCCCAAGAGACAGGCCTATTTTTCAGCAGAGCTGATTTCTTTATATCATATTGATAACAAAGATGAGTGACCCAGATCCTATAAAGAAACTGCAGTTACAACAACAAAAAAGCACTCTTACGTCTTTCTCTTTTTTATCAGGAGCTGGAGTCTGCTTCCTCATGTTATTTCCTGTATAGGCAACACATTTCTCAAAAAAGAAAAAAAAGAGGAGGGAGGAAAATTATCTTAATTAGCAATTAATATTGGGAATAATGCAAATTACTATGAGATATACTGATGTTACAATTGTAAAATGTAATTTGAATACTGGAAAAGAAAGGAATCTAGAAGTCAGACAGTCCTATGAAGCCCCAAATGACACCACTTCCACTGAACAGTCTGAATGTTATAATACAGTTAATGAGAAAATTATCCACTCTAGTGGATTCTCATCTGATTCATTCCCTGGACCATCGTGGTCTCCTCAGAGCCAGCGCAGTCCCCAAGCCACAGGATGAACTCCCTTAAGTACTTCATGAGGGAATGAAGGTAATACTCACCAGCTGCCATTCTCCAATGTCTTCATTCCAATGGACATAGTTTTCAATCATTTCCTTTTAAGAGCCAAAGATGGTCTACTTTTAATATTTAATAACATTTGAAATACTGGAAAAAAGCTCACAAGACTAAAATCTTAATATATTAAGTAAAAAGTTGCCTCAAAACATTATATACTGCGTAACTTTTTGATAAATTTGAAAATACATACTTTGAAGGAATATATGTAAATACAATTAAACCATATAAAAATAAAAAGCAAGGAAATGAAGAACATGGGATTCAGGATGATGACTACTTTGAGTTGGAAGAGCCAAAGGGATGGCAGAGGGGAGAGGGAAACTATTTGGTCAGAAGTAGGTTACTGTCCTGATAACAGCTTTTGTTATGCATGTCAAGTTCACTACAAAATAAATAATCAAAAAAAGCCAAAACAAACAAACAAACAAAACTAACCAACTAAATAAAAGCAGGTCAACCAAGGACCAATATAAGGAGAATGTACCATGAACCAAAAATTTTGTCAACCTGAGGTCCAAAGGAAAAACATATTAAGGCTTATCTTCAGAAAGAGTTATTTAAGCTATACAAAGACTCAAAATAGATTTTTGAAAAATCAGTATGTTAAGGTACACTAAAATGTATCAGAAAAATGGAAATTTTGGGTACAGAGAGGCTGACATTTTAAAATTATACTAGAATTAAGAATCAGCATACACCTGGCAATGGATGGCAGTGATGAGTGCAAAACACTGTAAATGTACTTAATGTCACCGAACTGTATTCCTAAAAATAGTCTAAAAAGGTAAATTTCATGTTATGTGTATTTTACCATATACACATTATGCCTCCCCCCCCCACACACGTGCACACACATGCACACAATTAGTATCCATAAGCAGGGAGAAAAATTAGCAAAGGAGTTCCATTTATTCTACTTACAGGATCAAATATATTGAATGAATAAACAGAAATGCAATTCCATAAGCCTGGGTTCCTCCAAAGGGCTGAGACATTCTTAGATAGGTACTAACATACTCAGAGACTTTATGTATAGAGAAAAGATAACAGCTGGAGTGAAATGTGATGGCATTAGTTCAAGTAAATTTTACCGTCAACAACTGAAATATTTACCATCAATTAAATTAGAATTATAGTCCTATTTCTGCACCCCAGCCAAGTGATATAATATCTAGTCAGAGAACTTCCCTCTTACCTGATAATCTTGAGGTATAAAATTATCAATAATAAGCATCTGAAGTCGAAGCTCCCGGCTAAGTTGTCGAATATTTTCCAGGAGGCCTTCAATTTCCCTCTGATGCTCCTGTTGGAGATCAGCCATCTACCAGAAAATCAATAAAAATATGAAGGGCAAACAAGGTTTTAAAAAAAAGTTTTTTAAAAAATTTTTAATGTTTTTATTTATTAGTGAGAGAGAGGGAAAGTGAGTGTGAGCAGGAAGGGTCAGAGAGAGAGGGAGACACAGAATCTGAAGCAGGCTCCAGGCTCTGAGCTGTCAGCACAGAGCCCGACGTGGGCCTCGAACCCACAAACCATGAGATCATGACCTGAGCCGAAGTCTGACGCTTAACTGACTGAACCGCCCAGGCGACCCGCGCCCCCCAAAAAAGAATTTTATCTGATTCAGGCACTGGTCTAAGAAACCTTGTAAAAGCTTAATCAGTTCTTTCACAAAAATAATTCACAGAATGACACTACCCCTCACTATCTATTTCTACCTTATTCTTTTTTCTTTTCTAATGTTTGTTTATTTTTGAGAGAGAGAGAGAGAGAGAGAGAGAGATCAAGACAGAGTGTGAATGGGGGAGAGGCAGAGAGAGTAAAGGAGACACAGAATCTGAAGCAGGCTCCAGGCTCTGAGCTGTCAGCATAGAGCCCCATGCGGGGCTTGAACTAAGGAACAGCTAGATCATGACCTCAGCTGAAGTAAGATGCTTATTAACCAACTGAGTCACCCAGGTGCCCCTATTTCCATATTAATAGTTAATGTTAGAAATACACAATGCAGCTTAACAGCTAAAATGTGAACCTGCACACAAAGGAGAAAATGTCATTTCTTTAAAACTGTAAGCATACATTATAACCTCTTTAGGATTTTTAATCATACTTCCTCAAAGAACTTTTTTTAAAATTCAGAGCTACATTTGTAGGTAATTGCTAGGAGACCAACCTCTGATTTGGCAGCCATCAGCATAGTCCACACTTTCTTTAATTTCTTGGTTTTTCCCTGGGCTTCCTCTTGCAAGCTGGTGTATTTTTCTTCAATATCCAAGCGTTCTTGCTACGACAAAAACTGATAAACTTCAGACAGAATCATTTTCTTCGTCAAACACAAATTTCATTATTTAACAAATGAAAAATGTTTAGCAACTATTATCTTTCAAAGCAATTCACAGATCTGCTTTAAAATTTTATTAGGATTATAGATATAAGACAAATACCACATGATTTCACTCCTATGTGCTATCTAAAAGACAAAACAAATGAACAAAGATATAAACAAAAAGAGAACAAACCGATGGTTGGGTTTGGGGGCGGGGGGGCGGGGAGAGAGACAAAAAGGATGAAGCAGGGAGTGGGAGGTACAGACTATCACTTATGGAATGAGTGAGTCATGGAGATGAAAGACTCTGCATAGGGAGTCAGTCAATGATCATCATTGGGGACTGCATAGGGAGTCAGTATCATACAGTCAATGATACTGTAAGAGAATTATATGTGGACACATGGCAGCGACACTTGCGGTGAGTACAGATTAACATAGAGAGAACCTAAATCACTATGTTGTACATCTGAAACTAGTGTAACATTGTGTGTCCACTATACTTACTTACTGACAGATTATGGATATATAGCTTTACACTAGAAGAGTTAAATACCAAGGCAAAATGTCAACCAAAACAAAAAGTTACATCACCTCTTTTTCCTCAAGTTCTCTACGAAGTTGCTCTGCTCTTTTCCTCCGTTCTTCCAGTTCCATATTAGATTCTTCAAGAAGTTTCTCTTGTTCTTCAGCTTTTGCCAACAAATCAACGCCACCAACAATTACCTTCTTCTCCAGTGCAGATAATTTCTCCAGCAAAGACTGATGTTCTTGTCTGTTGATTAAAAAGGAGAATACTTAATTATCTATCAATTATCTACTATTGCCAAAATTTAACAAGTAGTTGGATACAAAATTTCAAAATAGGGATATAATTATATAACACATCTAGCAAATCATATCACAGTGTAGTATTAATTAACTTATGATTTAATCTATAACATCCAACTTCACTGCTAATTTTTCCTCCTACACAAAGATGAAATAAGAAAAACAGATGCAATTTTTGGAAATAAAACAAAACCTTCTATCTTAAAAAGCTATTCTGGAGACAAAAATCAAGCTTTTAATTACTATTCAATTTTCTTGCTTATATATGCTATGAAAAATACCAGAAATTTAAATCACGAGTCTCTCTCAATTCAGTAATACTCACTGGGCCTTAAGTAGATCTTTTTCCCGTTTCTCTAATTCAGCTCTAGCTTTGTTTCTTTCTTCTTCTTCCATGTCAAGCTTTGTTTCAAGTGCTTTTCTCTCCTCATCAATTTTTGCTTGCATTTCAACCATCTTATCTGGGGACACTTTCTTTTTACCTATATGAGTCATTTATTTGCAACAATCACTGTAGGGCCAATTTTTCAGGCTTGTATAAATTCTCTTCAATTACAAAAGACACATTCCTCAATAATACAAAATCAAATACAATTTTGAGGAAATCAAATAATTAATATATTTTATTTCTATTTATGATGTTCTGGGAATAACTTTTTAACTAACTGCTAAACAAATTGCTGTGTAATTGTGCGATGATAACTAAGAACAAAAGTGTGCAAAAGAGAAGCAAAACAGGTAAGTAGGAAAAAAGAAAGATTAACAGGAAAGCCAAAAAAAACCAAAAACTCAAAGATCTATGTGTCCTCAAATAAGATATATGTTTAAAAAAGCAGCAGGGTTATTTAGTTACTTTTCTCTGATAACAAGGTACAAAATAAAGTGGCTTCCCAAAATTGATTAAAATCAATGAATAAATAAAAGTCACATATAGTCATAAAATTTTTCTAAAATTTATGTTTAATAAAATTACTTGAAACTATTTCATTTCATAGTACACCTTAAAGGAAGAAATCCTATACTAATTATTTAATGGTTACATTATAATTAACTAGGCATTTTACAGTTGTTGAGCTACCATGATCTATCATCATGTTAAATGAACAATTAAAATAGCTCATTATTATGTCAAACTCAGGAGCCTAAATCTCTCAGAGCCAGTTTAAATATGTCAAGTATCAATTAGAAATAGAAATACTATCAAATAATAAAGCTGGAAATGCAGCTTCCAGTTGATTATTTTGACTACAATGCCCAACTAGAGCATTTCACATACATATAATAGGTGTTCGATGAAAGTTTATCGAATGAATTTCAAAATGATGAAATTAAAATGAAACATCAAAAAGAACAAATAAAAAACCAGGTTATCAAACTGGTTATGAAACTGAATCAAATTCATTTCTGGTAATACAATTTCTTTGAAACATACTTTCCTTTGGAAAAACGATCATACTTTTCGTAGAATTGGTGAGAGGCTCTCCTGAAAGCTTTTGTCACTCTTAACTTCCTTACCAAAGGACCACAGAAGATTGTAAACCAGAAGAGTTTATAAATTGTTAATGTCTCCACCCAAAAGCTAACCCCTCCTGCTAACAAGGAAAGAGAACTGAAAAGTAATGATAATGCAGATATTTATCTGAATATACATTTTCAGGAAACATGAGATGAGAAAATCATTCATAGACATTAAATCTTTAAGATAAAATTATATTAAAAACCCAAGGGTTGAAAATATATTTCCCTCTATTTCTATAGAAATAAAAGTCTAAAGCAAACTTAAGCCATAAAACAAGTAAGTTAAATAAAAGAGTAAAAATAAGAGTACTGATCCAAATTCATGCTTTGGTGTGGTGTGATTCATTGCATTCCAAAAGTCAGGATGTAGACCTAAGTAGGCTGGCTTCTTTGGCACAGCCAAAGAACAGTACTAAATGTTCTGAATTATGCTGTTAAAAAAATAATTTTAAAAAGCCATCTAATTCCTACTCTCAATGAACTCCTAGACAGGATTTCTAATCGGTAGTACTATTTCTTAGAAATGTGAGGGGAAAGGCTGAAGTTCAGGTATAAAGTAATTTCATACAGAGGGTGCCTGGTTGGCTCAGTGGGTAAAGCATAAAACTCTTTACCTTGGGGTTTTCGGTTCAAGCCCCACATCAGGCGTAGAGGTTATTTAAAAATAAAATCTTTTAAAAAAATAAAACAAGGGCACACATTAAGAAATTATAACTTACTTTCCATCTCAGAATTACAAATATTTAAAGAAAAAATGGCCACTATGTTAAGACAAAAAAAAAAAAAAAAAAACACAACTGTATGAAGACATGGATACTAACAGTATAATGGAAATAATCTGATAAACATATGCACATTGATTTTTAGGTTTCAGGGTTCTGTTTGGTTAACAATTAAAAACATCTAGTTTCCAACCCCATTAAGAGGCAGTAAAATAAAAAGATACATGTAGAAATGCAAAAACACAACCTATTGATGAATTACTACCAGGCCTGAATTGTATTGGTTATTCAAAACCATTCAGGTAGGATTTTTCAAACTGATGCTTTCTCAGCAAAAATCTTACTGTGCTCTTACAACATCTTCATTAAAGATGACCACGCATATAGAATTCAGTTCAGTTTCAAAAGTCTAACATTTAAGTTAAATAATATTCTAGCCAGGATTATTCAGATAAATCACTGTATTTCTCTCCAAATAATATTTTAGGCTAAAAGTGAGTATGTTCCAACTCTCCTAACAAAGCACTTTTAAAATCGTGACATCACTAAAAGTCACTCTTATGCTGATTTTTTAAAAAGAATTTTAAAAAATCTTAACTAAACCACCCAAAAACCCTTCTTCTAATACTGCATGATAGATTCCAGCACAAAATTTCAGGTAAATACATCTTAAAAACTTGGTGATGTCATATAATATATAATTAAGCTAAACAGGGAATAATATTTTTAATTGCCCTTTGCCATGTGTTCTAACCAAAACTGTCAAGATGAAATTAAAGGGAAGAATTTCAGGAAGAGTCAGCTGAATTAATTTCATTCTCATTACATAAGCATCGATGGATGTAAGTAACCAGATGTGGGATTTCTTACTTTAAGTAAATACTTGAATATGAAAATCATTTATATTTGCATTACCGAAGTTTGGCTTAAGGGGTCTTTAAAAACTTAGGAAAAAATATTCTGTTATCTGGTTCTGGTGTTATATTGACTTTTGTCTATTGTGGTGATGAGGTCTAGAGCATCCAGTGTGTGTGACTGTCTAGCTAACACTTCTGAATTATTCCTCTGAAAAGATCATTCAGAAACAAGACTGGTCCTAATATCTTCCTGAATAAAAACTGAAATAATTTTTTTAATTTAGGAAAAATTAAGTTTTTTTTAAAAAAACTAAAAGTTGAAAACTAAATTTGAAAGATTTTTCTTAATACAAAAGACAGATACTTACCTTGGGAAAAAAAGTATTAAATTTTAAAAATGTAATGTAGTTAAATAACAAAGTTCTTTATAGTTTAAAGAATTGTACCATTTGTGGAGTGCAAATCAATCACACCAACCTGCTTGATCTTTCAGTAAGAAGTAGTAAGCAAATCGTAGACAGGAAGCATATGCACAGAGATGAAGAGGAAAAAAAGAAAAACATTATTTCCTTTGTAAAACAAAGAAAAATGCACAATAGCATTTATTTATGGTATAAATACAGAAATAAATCATTATCAAAACTTAAAGAGAGCAACTTTATGTAAAAAGAAAAGTATATTCAACACAATCGGAGATATAATTTAAGCAAATAAGATTTAGACTAAGATTACACTACAAATCAATCTCAAGAGCTCACACAATGACTCCCACACTCCTGAAAATATAAGAGTTCAGCACCATGTGGTTACACCAGCGATACACATGGAATTGGGAACCTGCTAAGATCTAGGAAGTAATCTAAAAGGACAAAAGAGAAAACTATGCCAATTTAAAAAATTAGTTGAAAGTAGCAAAATTTGCATTGTCCGTTTCCAAAATTTCCCAATTCAATGTTCTAATATAAAGATCCAATACAGGTGTGTCTCCCCTTTAAGAAAATCCAACACAAAAACCCCAATTAACTAAGAGATGAATTGGATTATAGTAATTTGTAGTGATAGTTCAATTAACAGAAGGATTTAACGGAGAAATGTTAAGGACAGTAAGTTCTCCCAATGGATGTGATTTTCCAATTTGATTTATAAGCAAATTTTTCAGAAGAAAAACACATTAATTGCATAAAGTGAAGTACACCTGTATAATAACAAACTTGCATTCAATCCATTAGTAGATTGTTAAGGGCAATTATGATTCCGTTGAAATAAATGATCAATTGATGATTCAAGCAAAGAACACCTTAAAAAAAGGCCATTCATATCTTTAAAAGGAAAGGTACGTACAGGTTACACACAGCAACCGCATGCTGGGAAAATCATTTTTCCAATGCACCAACACACCCACATCACAACAAAAAACTTAATGTTACGTGCTAGGTACACAAGTAGTAACTAAAACTGCATGAACTCTGAACAAAGTACAACTCATTCATAACATAATTTCATGTAACTTCTCTTTAAAGATTAAGAAAAATTTTAAAACAGAAAATTAAATTTGCTCCACTCAGATATTTTTTCAGACCTGACAGTTTATAATAAGAAATAATACCTCTGTATGGTTTCTAAAGCAATTTCTTATATTCTATAAATTATCCTATGAAGTTAATTGTTTTGTTAAAATGTAAGAGTTATCAAGAGAGAAAACAATTCTTTTTTTTTTTTTTTTTAAGAGAGAAAACAATTCTTAATATTCTTGGAATTCTTCCTCTAGAAAGCTAAATGCCTAAGAATAACCAAATGTTTTTGTTATTAGTTCTGGAAAGGTGAGTATACAGATAATGCTTTAAAAGGCAGTAAGCTGCAATCTAGTACAAGAAAATATCAATTCCCTTTTCGTCTAAAAATATAAATAAAAGTGACAATACTTTTCAACTTAAGAAATTAAGGTTTAAGAAAAAGCCTTTAGAATTGAAAAGAAGTCTAGACAGATCCTGCAGAAACAATTTCTTGTGGATCTGAAGTCTCTAACCATACCTTAGAAAATTTCTTAAAATCAATCAGGTAGTTTAGAAACAGAGAAAAGTGGCCATTTGAAATACTACCCAATATATCTTTACTTGCTTCAAACAGTATAGTTTTCTTTGTTTGGGAGCTTTCAATCTTAAGCTACCCTTAAGAATAGGACACCAAAGCATAAATCTTTATACCTATAAGACATGTTATAATGGGCGCTGGCGTATTGCCAAATAAAATTTGTACTTTAAGAAATTCAAGATTTGTTACTGCATGTCCCTGATACCGACTAGGAGTAGAAATTGATGATGAAGCCTAAAAAGGAACCTTTTAAGAATTGTTCTTTTATACAGCTTACTAGCTCTCTTTACATTATCTCAATAGCAAAAGCATGAATCTCTCTTCCATTGTCTCAAACATAAGCGTCAGCACATGTTTTAACAATTAGGGGTAACTGGAAGCAATGGCGAAGGGGAAAAATCATCACATGCTTTGTTCTACTGAGAAGTCCAACACGTATTCTTTAAGTAATGACGGGGAGCAGTGCAGCATTTCTCAAATGAAGCCCACGGGTTATGGAAAAGCCAAAGCTCTGTGACGTAATTTAAGAGCTACCACTCACTAGGCAAGGACTTATCCAGAGGTTTCTCTATGACAGAACATGTGGAGTCTGAACTACTGCTGCTGCTACTGCCTGGAAGACAAAGAAATGAGCCCAACGGGAACCAAAGAAAGAGCAAACAAGAAAATGAACACATACACAGAGGAAAATTCAGTTCCAGAGACAGAATTTTAAAGAACGATCAAGCTTTGTATTAAAGAACCAAAACTTACTTTCCCTTAAAACCAGTCTTGGTAGATTATCCAATATTCTCTAATTACAAAGCCAGACGGGGCAATTAGAAACTATTTCTTTTAGCACCTACTCTGGGCAAATCCCACTATCCACTGAAAACAGCAATTCAATGGGTTGGAATGACATGAATAAAAAGTAAGTCGGTTGGTGACACTGAAGTCTTTTTAAACTATTTAGCTGATAAATTACCAGAAGTGAGTTTGAAAACTCTAAATTTAAAGTTGTGCACAATTAAAACTACAGAAATGATCAGTTATCTTTCATTATAGACAGCTTTGTCTCTAACTGCACTCTTTCTCCACTAAAACATCAAGTAATTGGATATAATTATGTATGTTTAAGGTTCCATGGCAAAACTGTGAAAGGCTCACTGAAATTTTTAAAATTTGGAAGCCTAACTTACAAGGTAATAAACTATCTTATAGTAAATATTTTAACTTATTAAGCAATGGCATTTCTTTCTATTTCTATTTTTTAATTTTACTATTAACGGATCTATTATCTGCATTAGCTATGAAAAGTCTGTGAAAAAATAGGTAAGAACACAAAACCATTTATGTAAATCAAGGGTGGGCAAACATATTTTCTTAAGGGAAAGACAAATGCCTGAGGCTTTGTGGGCAATCCAGAATCATGTGAAAGCAGCCATACCATATGTAAACAAATGAGCATGGCTGTTTAATAAAATTTTACTTACAAAAACAGGTGGCAGGCCAGATTTGGCCAGAAGACTTATCATTGGTCAACTCTTGCTCTAAATCATGTTCTTCCTGTCTTTGGAAGTTATAGGACCTTTCGTTTTAAAATTTGGGACTTCTGGGTTTATTTTCAGCAAGATCATTTTAATAAGACAAGCAAAATATGCACCAGCTTGAAAACAATGATCCACACATTAATGGTCCACATTAATGGAAGAGAGTTCTCAAACACTCAGAGCACAAAGGCTTGAAAAGTCTGTCATTATAATACCTCTCTCTCTTTTGCCTGTTATCTTTATCTTTATCACAATAAACACAAGTTTACTTCACCCTTGGCAACAAATACCCCCAAAAAAGCGTAAGAATGAAAGTACATTATACAAAGTATTAAATTAAAACATAAAATCCTCATACAAAGTTATCATTTAAAAAATTCAGTGATTTTTATCAAGACTTTTTTTTCTGTATAAATTCTAGAGTTAGCTTGTATATAAACAAAACCAAGTAGGAAGTATTATCGGATTTACATTATATCCATATATTGTATGAGGATAACATCTCTATGTTACCAAATCTTTCCACATGGATTTCTAAGTCTTTCAATGTGTCTGAAGTCAGATTCTTAATTCTAACACATATTATAACTCTCTTTTTGTGATTTTTTTCCTGCCTTAAATATATCATCTCTTTTTGAGAACTTCATTTTCTAACTATTGTTGCTGGAGGGAAATATAATTGAATTTTGCATGTTACTTTCATATTCATCAATTTTATTGGACTATGAATAACTAATAATTGGCCCATATATTTTTTGTGTTTTTATTAAATGTACAGATCATAAATCTAAAAAAAAAAAATTCAGTGATTTTTAAAGCCTAATCATGCTTGAGAAAAACTCCACATTATCCTGACTTCCTTAAAAAAAAAAAAAAAAAAATTTAGGTTCCTAACAAAGATCAAAGTTCCCACATAAAATCAAAACCCTGAATGAAATCCTAACATGGTATAACCACTATCACAGATTTTTACAATTCTAGATTGTAAAAAGACAGAACATATGGTATTCTGATTCAGCTGTAAATAGATCAGCACTAGATAAAAAAAATAAGGCAAAGTTAACCACGTATATGGCATATTTCTTGTTTGAATTGCTACCATAACTAAAAATGGCAAAAGAAAAGGCATCCACTCAATTGCATTAGGAATGTGAAATCATATGTAGGTGGCAATCTCAGTTAATTTTTAGAACACTAAAAAGAACTTACCCCTTCTTTTTTTCCTCTTCTCTCCATCTTCTCCAACCTCACCCTCTTCATCATCCTCTTCCTCTGATCCACTGATATCAGAGCCTGATATTTCTTCCCCTGAACAGAAATTTTACAAAATGATTTATATTCTATACTAGGTAGGCTATGACCTGTATCATTTTCTTAAGTTTTTGTTGCCCTAAACAAAAATTGTAATTTAATATTCCTCAACAGTATATCACATATGCTAACCTCAGGAATAGATATAATGTACATAAAGGCTTTATTTTATTTTATTTTATTAGTATTTAAACATTTTTTTCTGAGAGAGAGAGAGACAGCGTGAGCAGGGGAGGGTCAGAGAGACAGGGAGACACGGAATCTGAAACAGGCTTCAGGCTCTGAGCTAGCTGTCAGCAAAGACCCCAACGCGGGGCTCGAACCCACGAACCGTGAGATCATGACCTGAGCTGAAGTCGGATGCTTAAAACTGACTGAGCCACCCAGGCTCCCCTAGCGGCTTTATTTTAAAGTTCCTAAAGAGAAGTTAAATTCTGATCTACTTAAAATGTCAAATGATTAGCTTACAAACTATTTTCTAAGTATACATAAAAATTTTACATTAAAGTTATTATTTCTGTTTTTTTAAAAAAGTGATCACTTTGGGAGACCATATTCTCATCGGTTTTCTGTTTAAGGTGTTAAATAATTCATTCAACTGCATATTTTTTTAAGAACCATAAAACTGTCATCTAACACAGTGATTCCACTTTTAGGAATATACCATAAGAAATATTTCAAAAGAAGAAGGGGGTATTTGTACAGAAAGTATAATAACTTTTTTTTAAGGCTGTATTTTTTAAGTAATCTCTACACCCCACGTGGGCCTCTAACTCACAACCCTGAAATCAAGAGTCACATCCTCTTCCAAATAAGGCAGCCAGGCAGCCCAAGTATGACTTAACATGAAAAACAAAAAAATCAACTAAAAGGGAATAAACTAATATTAAGTCAGAGCAGTACTACATTACCTCCACAGTAGTTATTTAAAAATAACACTGTCCATGTAAGAAATGTCTAAAAAAACAAAGGTAATTTGGGGAGAAAAATACACACTAATCACAAATGGTAATACCTGAACAAGAGTAAATAATGGAAGTCAGTGTACTGGGAGAAAGAATTCACTAAAAACATTTTCTTTAGGCCTAGTAACAATGACAACCTTGTAGCAGTGAGGGCACCTAACATCCAAATCTCGATTTCTAAATACCATTCTCCAGTGACAGGAACCAGGAACAAACAGATGGTTTTAAGGCCAGGGTAGGGAAAACATAAAATGAGCCGAAAACACGTGTGGTGCCAGAAATAAGTAACTGCTCAAAACCAAAAACCAAAAAAGTGATGGGAGCATGTTGAAAGGATGTAGTAACTACCCTAAAGGGATGGTTATGGCTGAAGTTCAAGTAATTTGAGCAATAAAACAAATAATGATATTATTGTATTATAACAGACAAACTATCCATTGAGTCATACTGACATAAATAAATAATTGAATACATAAACCAGTGGGGGAGAAGGACTATTCCCCCTCAGAGGAGAACGCCAAACATTAAATGTTCGAAGGAATGAGGAGAAGAGAAAGTCACCACTGAGCAAATGCCACAGAGTTATTGCTACAAGCAAGAACCCCTGATGGGTATTAAAATTAGTGCAGAAAAGTATGATGAGAAACAAAATCTCGTCATAATTTTTCAGAGTACGTTCCCACAAGACATACCTTAAGACCAAAGGAAAAAATTAAATGATAAAATTTATAGTGAAGAATCCTTGCAGAATAGTTATGAGAGAACTACAGACAACCCAAACTGCAGAACATTCTACAAATGTAATGACCTTTACAGTGTGAAGACCATGAAAGACAAAGAAAGATGAGGAACTAGATACAGGAGGAGAATAAAAAGTCCTGACAACTAAATGCAACATGTGATCCTAGACTACATTATGAACTGAAGAAAAACGGCATTTTGTGAGGAAAATCTCAACATCTGAATCAGATCCACAGATAAGTTACTAAGTCTGTATCATTGTAAGTTTCCTGGTTCCAACAACTGTACTATAAACATATAGTATGTTAACATTAGAGGAAGTTGTATAATAGCTATATAGTAACTCACTATACATCTAAATTTTCCATAAGTCTATAAAATTTCAAAAAATCATTCTTTTAATGTTTTCCCCTACCTTTTTATGATCTATATGACCAACTGTATTAACCATAACACTCTTAACTGGATTATAAAAACAAATGTCATAAGCATCAATGAAATGAAACGTTTTAAAAATAAGTCAGCATTGGGGCGCCTGGGTGGCTTAGTCGATTAAGCGTCCTACTTTCGCTTAGGTCATGATCTCGTGGTTCGTGGGTTCGGGCCCGCGTCGGGCTCTGTGCTGACTGCCAGCTCAGAGCCTGGAACCTGTTTCAGTCGTGACTCCCTCTCTCTCTGACCTTCCCCTGCTCACGCTCTCTCTCTCTCTCTCTCCTAGGAATAAATAAAACATTAAAAATAATAATAATAATAAAATAAAGTCAGCATTATCACATGATCCAACAATTCCACTTCTGGGTATATACCCAAAAGAAGTGAATGCAAGAACTCAAACATGTATCTGTACCCCCACATTCATAGTACGATTATTCACAGTGGTCACAGAACAGAAGCAACCCAAGTGCAGTTCAACAGATGCACGAAGAAACAAAATGTGGCATATACAAAGAATGAATATCATTCAGCCTTAAACAGGAAGGGAATTCTGACACATGCTGTGACATCATTGAACCTTGAGGACTTCATGCTAAGTAAAATAAGCCAGACACAAAAGCACATATATTATATGATTCTACTTATTTGACTTATCTAGAATAGTCAAATTCCTAGAGAGAATAGGGGTTACCAGGGGCTGAGGCAGAAGGGGGATGGACAGTAAATGTTTAATGGTACAGAGTTTCATTTGGGGATGATTAAGAGGTGCCTGGGTGGCTCAGTCGGTTAAGTGTCCGATTTCTAGCTCAGAGCCTGGAGACTGCTTCAGATTCTGTGTCTCCCTCTCTCTCTGACCCTCCCCTGCTCATACTCTCTCTCTCAGAAATAGATTTCAAAAACATTTTAAAAAAAGTTTTAGGGATGGACAGTAGTAATGGTTGCAGAACAAGGCTAACATAATAAAAACAGTTAAAATGGTAATTACTACACGATGTGAATTTTGCCACATTGAAAAAATGTAAAAAAATAAAGGCGGCAAAATAAAGAATGAAATGAACATTAACAAATCTAAGAAACTTAAATCTTTAAAACATATTGACTATAAATACCACCTAGTGGTCATATTTAAAATTCCAAATTTCATTATCTAAGAGGCAACTCAATTACTTCTTTTCCTCAATAATCTTACTCAAATTTATTGAATCAGTACCCTTTCCAAACATCTGTGATGTTGGAATTCACATCTGACGTATCCAGTTTCCCCATAAACTATAAAAAAGCTATTCTAAAGCCCTCTGTTTATCTGCTATGCAAAGCAGCCCTTCACCATCTGTTCTTAGCATGAAGTATAGAGTCACTGAGCACTTGATGACACCTGGTAAATTTCTCACTCTCATGAACAAGGCCTTCAAACTTTCTAACTTTTTAACACCTTGTTAGAAAAGGATTCCTCAAATAGAATCTCATGTTCAAATTAAGCATGAAAGCATTTTCAAAGCCAAACAATGAATTTTTACTTAAAGTTGGTTTACCCATGACTCTCTCATAGCTTTCTTTACTTTCAACAATAGTGCCCAATACCTTTCACAACAACTCTGGCTCATTTTCACCTAAATACATATATAGTAACTCACTCTTATATGGAGACAAAAAAATTCATTATGGAGTAAGTGGTCAAACAAAATCTGTAAAAAGGTCATGGGGACTGAGATGGAGGTTTAAATTAAATCAATTTTTAAAAATTACATGCACAGATATTACATAATAAGTGATTTTTTATTAGAACACTTAGTGGTTAAACAACATATTTTTAGCCAACATTAACATTAATATTTTAAGAAAAAGTTACCTTCTTCAAGCTTTTTTTTCAGTTCTTCTATTTCTTTCTGAAACTGACGAAGCAAAGCATCCTTTGGATCTTCATTGATTCTAGCTTTATTTTTAATATTCTTAGCACGGTTAGCATACCGTAATGTACTAATAGTTTCATCATAATTGTAGTCTGCTGGCCCAATATTTGCACACTGTTGAATCAGGAATACAAAACATTTTACCCCTGATGCAGTCAAAATTAATACTACTATTACAAATATATCAGAAAGAATTTCTGAAACATAGATAGTTCCTCTCTGGCCTTCTGGAACAAGAAAGCATCAACCACACCGATTTCCAAACACCATTAAATGGGTTAGCATACAAGGTGTTCTTCCACAATCAAAAAAGTGAAATATCAATAGTTTTTAAAAAGTCATGCCAATACATAAATAGGAATCTGAAATTTGGCTGACGTTAACTATTCCACAATGAAGTCTTACCATCATGGTTTTTGAATTTCCTCCTAAGGAATCTTGAAGAAGACGAGTCAATTTAGAGTTGCGATAAGGAACATGAGTGCTTTTTCCATCAACCAAGGCAGAAATTACATTACCAAGGGTGGAAAGCGAAAGATTGATTTTTGTGGCTTCCTTTAGGCGCTGTCCAGTAGCTCCAGTTTTTGCCTGCCTCTCTGAACCCTAGCAACAAACAAAGATAGAAATAAAGCAAAAATTAAAAATACAGAATATGCCTCTGACAATTTAAAACAAAATCTGACACTGAAAAAATCTGATATGATATCTGGAATTTGCTTCAAAATAATACAGGAAGGCGGGGCGCCTGGGTGGCTCAGTCGGTTAAGTGTCCGACTTCGGCTCAGGTCATGATCTCACGGTTTGTGGGTTCGAGCCCCATGTCGGGCCCTGTGCTGCCAGCTCAGAGCCTGGAGCCTGTTTTGGATTCTGTGTCTCCCTCTCTCTCTGACCCTCCCTTGTTCACGCTGTCTCTCTCTCTCAGAAATAAATAAAACATTTAAAAATAATAATAATAATACAGGAAGGGAAAACGTGGCTAAAGGCAAAAATGAAACACAACTGACCATGAACTGGTAACAGCTGAAGTTGGGTCATGGGTACAAGGGAGGTCATTCTACTATTCTAACTACTTCTGTATACATTTGAAATATTCCATAATAAATAATAAGTTAAACACATACACAAGTAAACAACTTAAAAACTCTATGTAAATCACACATTTTTCTCCTGAATTTTTATTCACTTATAAAATGTAAAACTACAAGGGTTACTCCTTAAGTAGTATCCTGTTACTTACAGCAAGGTCTACAAGGTGGAGCTTCCCCATTCTGACATGCATGTTACCATCAACGCCTTTTTCGCTGCATTCTATAGTAATTGTAAAGATGGCATGGGAACGGGAACTGTGTTCATTCATGTTAGTAGCGCCAACAGAACCTTGAAGAAAGGAAGGAAATTCTTAAAAAGTTTAGCACCAGGGAGTATTAAATTTTTTTTTTAATATTTTTATTTATTTCTAGGAGAGAGAGAGACAGCGTGAGCAGGGGAGGGTCAGAGAAAGAGGGAGATACAGACTCTGAAACAGGCTGCAGGCTCTGAGCTAGCAGTCAGCACAGAGCCCGACGCGGGGCTTGAACCCACGAACCGCGAGATCATGACCTAAGCGAAAGCCGGACGCTTAACCGACCAAGCCACCCAGGCGCCCCGCGTATTAAATATTTTTAAAAAGTAAATACTGCTGCAACGTGCCTTGTTAATCACGTAGCTATAAAACTCTTCTGACCCTTTGATCCACCCTGTACTCTGGGTGGCTCAGTCACTTTAAGCGTCCGGCTCTGGATTTCAGCTCTGGTCATGATCTTGCAGTTCATGAGTTTGAGCCCCATTCTGGGCTCTGCATTGACAGCATGGGATTCCCTCTCTCTCTGCCCATTCCCTGCTCGCTTGCGTGCTTTCTCTCAAAATAAATAAAATAAATATTAAAAAAAGAGTAACACCACTATTAAAACCTTTTTTTTAATCTTTAAAAAACTGATCTGACACCACTTCATAGCATCTGATAAGTAGTAATATACATACATCTTTCCAGAGTATTATTTTATCTTCTGGTTTTTTCCACTTAACATTATCTCCTATGTTTCTATGCAAAAACAACCTGCCAATTTTACTAAATTTAACTTTGCTATTCCCTGAGAGATATTTGGATTGTTTCCCATTTTAGGTCCTCATAAAGAACACCAATATGAGCATCTTTGATCACATACCTTTCTTTCTCTTAAGGATTATGTCTATGGGATTTATTTTTCAAACTGGAACTACTGGATCAAAGGGTTGGAAGAGTTTTATAGCTATGCGATTATCAAAGCACACTTTCCAGTATTTTTCAATTTGGGTGAGAGGAAACATGTAATGTAAAAAACTGGTATTAAATTTTTGGTATCTATTTTTTTTTGCAACCTAAGTACAGCATGTTATTTATGACTGTGACTTTTCTTTATGTCCAGTTATGAAAACAAAGCAATGCAAAAGATAAGCTACACTGTTATAATCCGTAAGGAGAAAACTGCTTGCAGCAGTCAAGTTGACTCAATGCTCCAACCTACTGACATATCACATATGAAAATAAAACAAAGAAAATTCCATACCTTTAATTTTTGTCAAAATATTTATTTTAGAATAAGGAAAAAATTAGGGGCGCCCAGCTGGTTTAGTCAGTTAAGTGTCCAACTCTTGGTTTTGGCTCAGATCATGATCTCAGTTTTGTGACTTAGAGCCCCATGTGCACTCACAGCTGGCAATATGGAACCTACTTGGAATACTTGGAATTCTCTCTTTCTCTCCCCCTCTCTCTGCGCACTGCCTGCCCCCCCCCCCCCCCCCCCCCCATTGCTGTCTTGGTCTCTCTCAAAATAAATAAACTTTGTAAAAAAAGAAAAAAATTAAATATTTATGTTTTTCAAGATGGCAAGGAAAACTTCTCCTATAAATATGACTGTATGTATATATAAACTCACATATATAAGAATATTTACTATACTTTTGCTCATAACAGCAAGAGTAAAAACAACACAAAAATCCATAAATAAAATATTGGGTAAATACATTATGTAGATCCATCCAGTGAAATACTTTATTTTAAAAGGTCTACCGTGTGATAATGATTTCTGAAATAACACCCTTAAGTGAATAAATACTACAATTATTTGACTCCTGAGAAAAGGAGAAGCACTTTACAGAAAAGAACAAGCACTTTCTGTAAAACTGCACATGGGCATTCAGAGACTATCAGGAAGGGTACAAAGGAAAAGTAATGGAGGTTGCCACCAGGGGCGGGAACTAGGTATGAGAAAGGCACAAGAAAGACTTGTTTTTCCATGTTTACTTTTGTGCCTTTTGAATTTTAGAACATATGTATGGATTAACTATTCAAAAAGAAATATTTTTAAGGAAAATGATTATTGTTTATTGTTTAATGGCTGAAAAACACTGCTCAACAGAAATATCAGCCAATTCACAAGAGTGTCCGCAATGCAAATGTAACAGACTATCTTAAATGTGCATTTTAGTTGCTAAGCAGGTCACGCATTCATGAAATGAAAGGACTTATTTTCTTACGTGTAAAATTAACTATTTCTGGACTATGACCTCCTACACAAAATGGGAACTAATTTTATACTTTTATCAATTTTTCATCTATTTAGAATAACAGCTTTTACTGTCACATTTCCTCCCTCTGCTATTGCCCTCTGGATATTTTACACTATTTCAGTATGATAAAATTACTATTTTTATGTTACAACTTTTCTATTTGGATATGTATACTAAATATCTAATTCTTGGATTCAATCTATTAATTATGAGTATTTTCCTCTCTGCTATCTTAGGTGTTAAAATGTCTTCATTTCATTTTATTTCTCCCATTAGAACTCACATACCAAATTAAATTAATTCCCAGTTCTTTGTTTTGTTTTGTTTTGTTTCTGTTTTGTTTTGTTTTTAATTTTTTTTTTATGTTTTATTTCTGAGAGAGAGAGAGAGACAGCATGAACAGGGGAGGGTCAGAGAGAGAGGGAGTCACAGAACCTGAAACAGGTTCCAGGCTCTGAGCTGGCAGTCAGCACAGAGCCCGACGTGGGGCTTGAACCCACGAACCGTGAGATCATGACCTTAGCTGAAGTCAGACGCTTAAGCGACTAAGCCACCCAGGTGCCCCTCTGTTTTTGTTTTTTAAAAGATGATTTATTTTTGAGAGAGACAGGGAGAAAGTATGAGCTGGGGAGGGGCAGTAGGAGAGGGAGACAAAGAATCCCAAACAGGCTCCACACCATCAGTACAGAGCCCGGCATGGCGTTTGAACTCACAAACTGCAAGATCATGACCAGATCCAAAATGAAGAGTCAGATGTTTAATCACTGAGCCACCCAGGCACCCCAATTCTCAATTCTTAGTGGGTAGTTTTGATCACTACTGCGAATGGAACCTTAAGTCAAAAAATTTTTTTTACAGAATAAGCAATACATGATCATATTCCTGGTATAAAAAATTTTGAAAACAGAGACAACCAAAAACATAAAGTAAAGGCTCCGTATATCCCTTTTGTCCAATCTTACTTCCTCTCCCCTAAAGGGAACCACTATTAAACATTCTTTCGTTTTGTATTTAACACACACACAAGTCGATACACACACACATATACACACACACACACACACACACACAGCCCAAATACACAGCTGTTTAACAATTTGGCTTTTTTACATTTATAAATGGGATGATGTAGCACATACTATTCTGTGATTTGCTTTCTTTTCACTTAATGATATACCTTGAAAATCTTTCAGGTCTCTACATGTAGATTTAACTTTTTTTTTTTTTTTTTTTTTGTTTATAACTTCATTATGGTCCATAGTCATTCTGTACCATAATTTATACAGCCAATGTTTTACTGATAGCTATCTGGACTACATCAAACTTGTGCTATTACAAATAATTTGCAATACAGCATTTTGTTTATGTCTAAAAGTATTTTTCTAGAGGTGCCTGGACCTCTACACGTGCCTAGAAGAGCATACAACTCAATCTCAGGGCTGTGAGTTCGAGCTTCCTTCTGAGTATAGAAATTACTTAAATATTAAAAAAAATATTTTTCTACCTATGTATCAACATAGGTAGGCAGGTAGGTGGTAGGTGGTAGGTAGGTAGGTAGGTAGATAGATAAGTGTTAGAAACTCTGGGTCAAAAGGAATGTACTCTAAAAATATCAACAGATACTGTTACACTGCCCTTCAGAAAGGCTGGAGCACTTTACACTCCCATCACCAGTGCCCATATCTTCAGAGCTTCATGAACCTGGAGATCCTTCATCCAAAAGAACGGGTAAAATATCTCCTTCTGCTGATCTAATACACATTTTCCTGATTACTTGTCATGGTGAACATACTTTCATATGCTGGTTGCTATGTATAGTTCTTCTGTGAATAACATATTCATATATATTCTTTGCTCATTTTCCTGTTATCATTTGGTCTGTTTCTATTACATGGTTTATAAGAACACAACTGATTTTTTAAATCTTCTTCAATTTCTTTGAGCTTGCTAGATTTATAGTCTAGTCAAAAAAACCTGTAAAAACATGTTTACTTCCTATGTTCTTACTTTTTTAATCTCTGATGTCTAATTGCTGCTAGCAGCACTACCAGTTCTAGGCCTGAGGCAGTGTGTGCTTAAACAGTGCTGAAGTTTTTTATTCTTTAGACAAGAAAAGGGAGGCAGTAACGAGCTTGGTTAGAGGTGCCTGGGGGGCTCAGTGGGTTAAGCATCCAGCTTCGGCTCAGGTCATGATCTTGCGATTTTTGGGCTTGAGCCCCGCATCGGGTTCTGTTCTGGCAGCTCAGAGCCTGGAGCCTGTTTTGGCTTCTACGTATCCCTCTCTCTCTGCCCTTCCCCCAATTATACTCTGTCTCTGTCTTAAAAATAAATAAACTATAAAAAAAAAATTTTTTTAAAAGAACTTGGTTAATGCTGATTAACAGTCTAGGTTCAAATACTCACTCTGCCACTTACTGAGTAGTATATAACCTTAGACAAATTACTTACTAAGTCTGTTTCCTCAATCATAAAACAGGAATTTAGAACCTTCAGAGTCCACTGTGAGGATTTTTAAAAAATCATTCTTATAAATAAAAGTCTACTCAACACATAAATGTTCAATCACAATTATACACTATCACTTACGATTTTTGTGGCCTAGAGTCATAATTCTATCCATATCGTCAGCATTATTTACCACATAAGCTGATAAATCTTTGATATAAACCCCCACATCAGGTCTTTCTTTAACCTAAAAAAAATAAACAAAAGAAAGAAATGACCATAAGATTTTGTGCACATATCCATAATCTTCCACAGTTATTTATCAAACATCTACAATGCAGTGGGCACTCTGCTAAACAGTGATGATATAGTCATGGACAAGGTAATCATAATCTCTATCTACACTTGCACAGGTGACAACCTATGGAAAAAACATACAAATGAAAAATAACACTTGGTATAACCATTGGTATAATGTCATGAAGCAAAAAAGTACAAGATAGTATGAGAATGCATTATAGCAAAACTAAAACAGAGAGTTTCCCCAAGATGACATTTAAGTTAAAACTTGATGAAATAAGAGGCAGCCAATCCAGGTTAGGGTAGCAAGAAAACAGTATGTGATGGGATCCTGAAATGGGAAAAAAGTAAGCACTCAGGATAAGTAAGAAAAACAAAAAAGCCAGACTGGCTGAAAAGAGTAGGAAGCCGGGGAGAAACAGGCGGGATACCTGGCTACAGAAGTAGGCGGAGATAAGACAGAGCACAATTATTGGTCTTTATCTTAACAGCAACTTGAAGCCACTGGAGGATTGCAAACAATGGAGTGAAATAATCAGATCTATAGCATCTATATAAAAACATTACCTTTCTATGAGTAATCTTATGAGAACTTTCATCAAATCTGAAGGCCTTTTTAGGACAGGTTTACCTAAAATACAGCGTTAGAAAGCTGAAACTCACTTTGTTAGGCCCTAGAAGTGACCTCCGCAAGTGAACAAAACACAGGCACACTTCACAGCTACTACGGGTTGGGCTGCAGACCACAATAAAGCCAATACTGAAACAAACCAGGTCAAATGAATTTTTTGGTTTCCTAGTATATATAAAATTATATTTATACTATAATTTATTAAGTGTGCAATAACATTATGCCTAAAAAAAGTGTGTATAAACCTTAATTAAGAAAAATTTCATGGGATGCCTGGGTGGCTCAGTTGGTTGAACATTAGTTAGTCCAACTCTCAGCTGAGGTCATGATGCTGAGGTTTCTCAGCATGTCTCAACAGTGGACTTAAAATATTCAGTAAACTGGGGCAACTAGGTGGCTCAGTTGGTTGAGCATCCGACTCTAGATTTCAGCTCACGTCATGATCTTAAAGTTTGTGAGATCAAGCCCCATGTCAGGCTCTGCATGGACAGCATGGAGCCTACTTGGGATATATTCTTTCTCTCTCTCTCTCTCCCCCTCTGCTCCCACCCCCACTCATACTCTCCATCTTGCAAAATAAACATTTAAAAAAGATATATTCAGTAAATCATGTTATAAAACAGACATGCTGTCATCCAGGCCTTGTCATTCTGTTTATAAAGGAAAGATAGAGTATATTTAGCATAATTCTTCAGGGCCCTAGGAGTCTTCAGAATTTTAAATGAGCAGTGGCTTCAACTTAAGAGTATCAGTTGCATTAGCCCCTAACAAGAGAGTCAGTGTGTCTTTCGAAGCTTTGATACCAGGCACTGACTTCACCTCTCTATCTATGAAAGTCCTAGATAGCCTCTTCTTCAAACAGAAGTTGTCATCTACACTGAAATCTGTTGTTTATGGTAGCCACCTTCATGAATTATCTTAGCAAAGTCTCCTGGATAACCTGCTATAGCTTCTCTATTAGCACATGCTACTTCAGCTAGCACTTTCATGTTATGGAAATGGCTTCCTTCCTTAAACCTCACAAACCAACTTCTGCTCTCTCTGCTATCTTCAGACTTCTTCTACAGCCTCCTGACCTCTCTCAGCCTTCAAAGAATTAAAGAAAGTTAGGGCTTTCCCCAGATTAGGCTTTGGTTTAAGAGAATGATATGGCTACTATGATCTTGTATCCAAACCACTAAAACTTCAGCAATAAGGCTGTGTGCTTTCTTATTCATGTGTTCACCAGAGTAGCACTTTGACTTCCTTCAAGAACTTTCTTTTTACAGACGAAATTTGCTGTTCGGCTCAGGAAGCCTGATTCTCCACCTCATCTTGGCTTTCGACAGATTTTCCTCACTAAGCTTAATCATTTCTAGCTTTTGATTTAAAGAGATGTGTGACTCTTCCTTTCACCTGAACACTTAAAAGGCTGCTATACGGTAACTTAGCCTAATTTCAATACTGGTATGTGTCAGAGAATAGAGAGCCCAGAAGGAGAGGAAAAGAGATGGGGAATGGCCAGTGGAGGAGTCAGAACACATACAACATTTATTCAGTTTGCTGTTTTATGTGGGCATGGTTCATGGCACACCAAAAGAATTATAATAGTAAATTCAAAAATCACTGATCAAAGGTTATCATAACAAATATGATAATAATGAAAAGCTCTGAGATATTGTAGTAATTACCAAAATGTGACATAGAGACACATGTTTTTGTTACTTGGAGGGGGAGTTAAAAAAATTTTTTTTAAGTTTTTTTATTTTGGGAGACAGAGACAGAGAGAAAAGGAATCCCAAACAGGTTCCACAGTCAGTGCAGAGCCCAATGTGGGGCTCAATCCCACAAACTGTAAGATCAGGATCTGATCTTACAAGAGTCAGACACTAAGGACACTTAACCAACTGAGCCACCCAGACATCCCTGTTGATTTTTGTTCTTGTTTGTTGTTGTTGTTTTTATTTTTTTATTTTATTTTTTTTTTAATTTTTTTAATGTTTTATTTATTTCTAGGAGAGAAGAGAGAGAGACAGCGTGAGCAGGGGAGGGTCAGAGAGAGAGGGAGTCACAGACTGAAACAGACTCCAGGCTCTGAGCTGGCAGTCAGCACAGAGCCCGACGCGGGGCTCGAACCCACAAACCGCGAGATCATGACCTAAGCGAAAGTCGGACGCTTAACTGACTAAGCCACCCAGGCGCCCCGTTGTTGTTGTTGTTTTTAGAAGGCTTCACACTCAGTGGGAGTCCGACACAGGGCCTGACAAAGGACCTGAACTCATGACCCTGATATCAAGACCGGAGCTGAGATCAAGAGTTGGACACTTAACTGATGGAACCACCAAGGCCCTCCCATCAAGGTGTTTAGGTCACCAATATAACATGCTTATAACAGTGTGCATTTGTAGCGATTGCATTCATGACGTTTACGTATGCCTCTATTTCATTATGTTATTGAGTGTGGTCACATCTAAGCATTTATATAATGAAATATTATCATTTTATTATTTCAGTACTTTTATTCTCATTTATATTATAACTGGGCATTTATCAACAGATAAATGGATAAAAGAGGGGTGCCTGGATGGTTAACCACTTAAAGTGGGTTAAGTGTCCGACTTCGCTCAGGTCATGATCTCACGGCTCATGGGTTCGAGCCCCATGTTGGGCTCTGCGATGACAGCCAGCTCAGAGCCTGGAGCCTGTTTCAGATGCTGTATCTCCCTCTCTCTCTGACCCTCCTGTGCTCACACTGCCTCTCTCTCTCAGAAATAAATTTAAAAAAATTTTATTTAAAAAAATAAAAATAAAGGGACAAAAGAAAAAAGAAAAGAAAAAGAATAGTATGCAGCTTTTAAAAAGGACAAAAGAAAAAAGAAGAAAAGAAAAAGAATAGTATGCAGCTTTTAAAAAGGACAAAAGAAAAAAGAAGAATAAGGAGGCTTTCCTGTACTGATATGCAAAGACTGTCACAATCCATTGGTTCAGTCAATACAAAATGCAATGAGGAATAAAAATAGGCTTTTCAATAAACAGTGTCGCAACAAGTGGCTGTCCACATGCACAGTAATGAAGTTGGCCCTCTTCCTCACACCATATACAAAAATTAACTGAAAATGGATCAAAGACCTAAATATAAGAGCTACAACTATACAACTCTTAGAAGAAAACAAAGGCATACATCTTCATGACCTTGGATAAAACAATGGCTTCTTAGATATAATATCAAAAGTACAAGCAACAAAACTAAATATGGATAAATCAAAATATGATCAAAATTAAAAATTTATACGTTTCAAAGGAAACCATCAAGAAAATGAAAAGATGACCCATAAATGGGGGGGAAGTTGTATAAATCATATACTGTTAAGGGACTTCTATCTAGAATATATGAAGAAATATTATAACCGAATAACAAAGGACAAATAACCCAATTAAAAGCAGGCAAAGGACATGAACAGACATTTCTCCAAAGAAGGTACTCAAATGGCTAATAAGCATGGGAAAAGATGTTCAACATCACTGGCCACCACAGACATAGAAATCATGCCCACAGGAGATACCACTTTATACCCACTAAGATGGCTAAATGAAGAGACAAGCACTGACAAGGATACGGACAGATTAGAAGCTTCACCCACTGGTGGTGAGAATGTAAAATAGTACAGCCACTGTGGATAACAGTCTGGCAGTTCCTCAGATGGTTAAAGATACAGTTACCACAGGACCCAGCAACTGTACTCAAAGGTACACAGCCAAGAGAACCTAAAACACATATTCACACAAAAACTTGTACAAGTGTAGATATGTTTATAACAGCATTATTCATCATAGACAAAAGTAGAAACAACCCAAATGATCAACTGATGAAGAGGTCAACAAAATGCAGTATATCCATACAATGGAGTGCTATTCAGCAAAGACAAAAAAATTAAGTACTGACACATGCTACAACATGGATGAACCATGAAAAATGATTCTGAATGAAAGAAGCTAGTCACAAAAGACCACATATTGTATTATTCTTTTATATTATATATCCTGCACAAGCAAATCTATAGAGACAGAAAGTAGATTAGTGGGTGCCTGGGACAGGGAATTGGGGAGGGGATTGGGAGTGACATCTAAGAGGTACGGCATTTCTTTTGGGGGTAAGGAAAACGTTCCACAATTAGGTAATGAGTGTTGTTTAATTTTGTGAATATCCTAAGAACTGCTAAAATGTATCATTTAAAAGGGTGAATATTATCCTCTTTGAATTATATCTCCACTAAAAAAAAACAATGAATATGAACCAGCTAAACTCTTAAGAACCTTATTATGTACCTATTCACAAATTTTGTGATTCTCTAATATTTATGCATGTAATTTCACACTTCCCTTTTCTGAAATTCATCATGAACATAGTCTTTCATGACAATCTATTATCCCAACATGCACAAACTAGGTCTCAATCAGATATTTTACTTTTTCCTTTAGGTAAAAGAAACACTTAAAACTACTAGTACTTTTTTTATTACATCTACAATTAATATCTTTATTTTTGACACTTTTAATACTTTATTCTTTCCCTCCCTTCCCCTCTATTCTTTCCTTTTTCCTTTTTTTTAAAGTCACATTACTGTTGACCTTTTTTTCCTTTTTAGGTTCATTTATTTTTATTGAGACAAACAGAGAGACAGAGAGGGCGAGCAAAGGAGGGGCAAAGAGAGGGGGAGAGAGAGACTCTCAAACAGGCTCCATGTTCTCAGCACATACCCAGACACAGGGCTTGATCTCACAAACTGTGAGATCACGACCTGAGCTGAAATCAAGAGTCGGACATTCAAACCAACTAAGCCACCCAAGTGCTCCTTCTTTTTCTTCTTTTTTGACACTTTAAAAATTTCTGACTTAAAGTAAATTGTGAAGTACTCTTAGCATTCATACCAGAAAATGAAAACTTACATTCACATAAAAATCTGTGTGAAGGGGCACCTGGGTGGCCTAGGAAGTTAAGCATCCAACTCTTGGTTTAGGCTCAGGTCATGATCTCGCAGTATGTGGATCTGAACTTCACATTGGGCTCTAGGCTAATGGCTCAGGGCCTGTTTAGGATTCTCTCTCTCTCGCTCTCTCTCTGCCTCTCCCATGCTCACACACATATTCTCTTTTCTCAAAATAAATAAACTTAAAAAAATCTGTGTACAAATGTTCATCGATGCTTTATTAATAACAGCCAGAAACTATAAACTGCCTAGATGTTCTTCAACAGGTGAATGGCTAAACTTTACATATATACATTGTACATTACTACTCAGCCATAAAAAGTAATAAACTATCAATACATGAAACAACTTGGATAAACCTTAGAGGAGTTATGCCAAGTGAAAAACGCCAAACACAAAAGTTACATATTACATGGCTCTATTTATATAACATTTTTGAAAAGATAAAATTTTAGAATTGGAAAGCAGATTAGGGATTGTCAGGGGTTAGGGAAGGGGACAGAGGAATGTAGTCAGGAGAGAAGTGGATATGGTCATAAAAGGGCAATATGAGGGCATCTTTATGATACAACTACTTAGTACCTTGACAGTGGTAGTGGATAGATCACATAAACATGTGATAAAATAATACAAAGTACAAATGAGTACAAGAAAAACTGGAGCACTTGAGTAAAATCTGTAGATTGTAGCAACGTGAATATCATGGCTGTGAAACCGTACTACAGCTCTGTAAAATATGACCACTGTGGAAAACGGTGTGAAAGGTACTTCTAAGTAATGGGTAATCTTTCCATATTCCTTCTTAAAAACGCATGTGACTCTACACTTACCTGAATAAGGATTTTTATTTTTAAAAAAAAAGTGCAGATCAATGCATGGGTAGAGGTACTTACAGAGCAGAAGTAAAACTGTGTTTGCATTTACATAAAGGAACAATGAAGAAATACTGACAGTGGTTATCTTAGGGTGGGGAGAAAATGGAGTAGCAACAAATTTTCAATCCGTAAATTTTCACAACATTTAAAATTTTGAATTGTGATATTACCAGGTCAAAAAATAAGTAAACTATTAAAAGTATCTTTTGTACAAAAGGAATTTTAATTTAGTAAACAATCTACTGCTTTAGAAAGCACTTCAATTCCAGTTATCCTTACCTCTAACCTCTGTGTCTGGTCCTTGCCCAAAAGGTCACGAACTTCTTCATTATATATTTCCAAGTAAGACACTCGAACCAAAAATCTATAAATAAAACATCATTTTAAAAAACATAAAAAACAGGAAAATATTTCTAAGAACTGTTTTCATATGTGTTTATAAGATATGTGCCTATATGCCTTTCCTGTGTTTGTACTTCCGAATATTAGAAAATAAAAGAATTCTCTTTTACCTTGTATCACCCTCTGCTTTTGCAATATGACCAAATATGTGAGCAAATGAATTTGGAATGATTCCTCTAAGTTCAGGAACAGCTCGAACGCCTTCCATGGTAAAAGTTTTGCCTGTTCCCGTTTGTCCATATGCAAAAATAGTCCCTGAAAATGATGAAGAGAATCAATCACTTTTAGAGTCTAATGCTACAGAAAAATAGCTCTTAAAAATAATTCCTTTGACACTGTGATGCAATTTCTTCCTTGGATTTAAAATTTACTCAAGTACAAATTTCACTTTTATCATCAACAATTACAATATGTACTCTGAGCCACAGAAGCCAAGCACTGTTACAGCCCTAAAGTCAAAGATATATTCCTAATTATTAATAAAAAGTATTTCAAACCCTACATGTGAAATCTTACATCATGGCTAAGCATAAGAAATTTATTATAATGTGTACGTTAATTACTTAATGTAAACATTAAGTTGGAGAAGGCAGTACAATTGCAGGAACAAAAGAATACAGGTTCTAGAATGGAGAGACCTTAGTGTGAATTCGCCTATCTGCCAGTGGGTAGCCATCTGACCTTACACAGCAATCTACCAAGAGACTGTCTCCTCATTGGTAAAACGAGGATAATTACCCCTGACATTAATAGTAAGAACCAAATGAAACAATCTACTCCAAGAAACCAGCATGATGTCTGGCAGAGTAAAAGTAAATGGTATTTTCTTTCTTCTTAATCCTAAAGTAAATTCATTACTTTAAAAATATGTATTTTTTAAGTAAAAGCTGTAAGGAATAGGGCAGCCAAAAAAAAAGGTGACAATACAATTACTATAGGTAATTATAGATACAATTTAAACTTTCTAAACACCTAAATTCATTCATTCAACAACTACTCACCACACACCAGAGTGTGGTATTGTGCTAGGCACCAGGGACACATTGACAAACACAATCCTTCATCTTACAGTGTATATAATCTTGGGAAGGAGATTTTGGTCAAATATTTATAGGAGGATGAGTGCTAGGACTGAGAAACAGAACTCTAGATGAGAGTAAAGGGACACAGTGTAGGCAGGAGAACTGATGCAAGAGGAAATGTGGGGAGATGGGGGGTCAGGAAAGGCATTCCAGAAAATCTAAGGTTGAAGATGCAATGTGAAATAGGAGTAAGAGACAGCAACACAGTGGATAGGGAGAGGCAAGAAAGAAAAGAGAGGTTTTGAGGAAATGAAATGAGATTAAAATGAAGGAAACAGTGATGGAAAATGAAGACGGATGTAGACAGAGCTAAAGGCATCAGCAGGAGACTAATCACATAGGGCCACAAAGACTATACTAAGGATATTAAAATGGAGCATAAAACCAAGGTGAAGCCTAAGAACGATTTTGCAATTAGGAGTGAATCAGGATCACTACAGCTACACCGTGTACACAGAATTGGAAGAAGGCAAAGGGAGATTTGTGAAGAAACCAGAGAGCTGGAGCTGATGACAGGAGGGAATGAGAAAGGTGGAAGGATTTCACAGACATGTAACAGAATCAAGAGCACCTGGGAAGTAACTAACCAGGCAAGGAAGCCAGGACAACTTTCAAATTTCTGGCTTGAACAAAGGAATGTATGGCTATGATGTACACTGAGATAGTAAACACCACTAGAAAAAATGACAGTTTGAATGGAAAGACCATGAATTCATTTCGGGGCACACTGAGCTTTAAGTGCCCGTGACACACCCAAATAAATGCATATGTCAAGCAGGAAAGTGGAGGGATGAGATGTATTTGCTCAGTGAAGCCCTAGGAATGTGTGCGATTTCCACAGTAGACAGCTCAGTGTGAGAACACAGCACTTGAAGTCACAGCCTAAATGACAAAGGCTTTTCAACTACCACTTTATGCAGTTAACCTCTTATGTCATCATCATTTCCAGACTTTCTGTGACAATGATCGTAATAATTAATCACAACAGAAGCCATCTTTTACACATCAGAAAAGTCTTAATTTTTTCTAACTCACTGAATATTGCAAACTCTGCCATAAAGAATGCATTATTGCATTCAAAAAAGCTAAAAATATTATGAACTTACAAACTGCACTTGATAACTGACACAACTGTTATCATTTACAGATCATCTGCTACGAGCTCAGCATGGACTTTACATGCATCCTTACTGAATTTTCCCCCAATCCTAAAAGCTGGGCACTGTTTCTATTCCCACGCTTTAGTCGAGGAATCAAAGGCTTACAGAGGTTGAATTATTTGTTCAATGTCATAGTAAGTGGCAGAAAGAAGATCTGAACACAGTCCATTTGGCTCCAGAACTCATATTTTTAAGAAGTATGTAAGGGCCAGAAATGTTTTGAATTCAAAATTAATTCCTAATGCAACTTCTGTGAATGCATTAAATATATGAAGATTACTAATTTAAAAAGGATATTAATCTATAATTTTAGAGCTGACAAAGGAGGACCAGAAATGCCTTAGAATAAAAGAGTCACATCTCATTTTCAGAGGAGAGACTGCAAATTCCTAGTTTTTTATACCCAACTTAAGAAACCTAATGCTAGCATTTCCTTCATATGAACTTCTCTTAAAACCCTACTTTTTAAAAACTAAAAATGACCTGAAATTTTACCTAATCTCCCTATTTCCTGACTACATCTTAAAAACAGAAGGCCTACAAAAAATCTGCACATGGATGTTTATATCCGTGCATAATCCTAACTGGCAAAAACTGGGACGCAACTAAGATGTCCCTCAGTAGGTAGGTGAGGAGATAAATAAAATGTGGTACATCCACACAACAGAGTATTATCTATTACCAGCACAAAAAAAGATATAAGCCATCAAGCCATGGAAAGACCTGGGCAAAACTTCAGAGCCTATTAACTAAGTGAAAGAAGCCAAACTGAAAGGTTACATACTACATGACTCTAACCATATGACGTTTTAGAAAAGGTGAAACTAAAAGGAGACAGTGAAAAGATTAGTGTTTGCCAGGCTTAGTAGGGGAAGGAAGGATAAACAAGCAGAGCACAGAATGAAACTATGATTTATGATATTATAATAGCAGGCACATGTCATTATATTTTTGTCAAAGCCCAAACAATGTACAACAAGAGTGAACCCTAATGTAAACTATGGACTTTATTTTTTTTTAAATTTTTAATTTATTTCTAGGAGAGAGAGAGAGAGACAGCGTGAGCAGGGGAGGGTCAGAGAGAGAGGGAGACACAGACTCTGAAACAGGCTCCAGGCTCTGAGCTGGCAGTCAGCACAGAGCCCGACGCGGGGCTCGAACCCACGAACCGCGAGATCATGACCTAAGCGAAAGTCGGACGCTTAACCGACTAAGCCACCCAGGCGCCCCATAAACTATGGACTTTAAATGACAATGACGAGTCAGTGTATGTTCATCAACTGTAACAAATGTACCGCTGTAGTGTAGGATGTTGAGAGTGGGGGACTTTGTATACGTTTGAGGACAAAGAATATATGGGAAATCTCTGTACTCTTTTTCAATTTTGCTTTAAACTAAAATTGTTTAAAAAACAAAGTTTATTAATTTTTTTAAAGTTTTAAATGGTCGAAATTATGTATTTACCTTTCCACATTTGAATAATGTAACATTCTATGTTACAGCATTCCTGATTTTGGTCCTTCTTCCAAATGTTTTTCTATGTTACTATCAACAATTTTCAGTCAGCATCATTATAGGTGAAAAACTGGTGAAAAGTCCCCTGACATTTACAGACTACAAAAAATACAAAGTTTATTTTTTTAAAACACACAGTTCTATTTTTTCAAAATTAAACTTGTGACACTTCGGCTTCCAACAAAGACAGAGTAAGAAGGACCAGATTCATCCTCCCAACTGAAACAAAAAGCAGACAAAATATACAAAACAACAGTTTTCAAGACAATGGACCTCGGTCAAGAAAAGGCCGTGACCCCTGAAAACTGACAAACAGGTAAGGTGGGCCCTATGACTGCCCAGCTTCCTGCCTTGTGAGAGAATCAGAGCCACAGACCAGGACGGGGAACCCAAGAAGTGATGAGCAGATTCCCTGAGTCCAGAAGGACCCAGAGTCAAGAGAGCCCAACACAGCTATAGTCTGTAGGACTCAGTGGCAGACAGGACAACACTGCACACAAAACTGCAGATTCCAGGTGTCTGCAGGTCTTCCTTAAGTACTCAGCTGAGCATGAGGAAACTATCGAAATGTGGGGGATGAGAAATCATTTGGAAGGAAGAGTCCCTGGCATTTACACAGGCCAGAAACAGTACCTGTTTACACCAGCCAGACAGGAACGCTTCGTGATTCACAGGACATTAGGTACAAAAAGGTCTTGCCTCACTCTTAGACAAATAATCTTAGACTGAGCGCTGTTCCAGGCCTAACTAAAGATCTTAAAAGATCTGAAACAATCAAACCATTTTCAAATAACTACAACTCAGAACAAAGCTCATCAATATTTATAAAAATAAAAACATTCAAGAGTCAAGGTAAAACTCGCAGTATCCTGGCATCCAACCAAAATTTGCCAAGCTTGCAAAAAAGATACAACCCATAATGAAGAAATCCATCAATCAGTCAACGCTATATCCTATATGTTAAAAAGTTAGGTGGAAATCTTGGATGGAAATTTGAAAGAACATGGATCAAAGATACAACAAAGACCCAAATCAAACTTCTAGAAATGAAAACTACAACGTGTGAGATGCAAAATGCAAGAGATAAGGTTAACAGTAGATTCAACACTGCAGAATAAAACCTGAAGACTTATCAACAGAAACCATAAAAAATATAACAAAGAGGGAAAAAAAACAGAAAAAAGAAAACCAGCATCATTGAGCTATGGGACAATTTCAAGCAGCCTTATATACATGTCACTGCAGACCCTGAAGAAGAGGGTGGGGACAAGAAAAATATTTTTAGAAACAATGACTGAAATTTTTCCAAATTTGACAAAAACTACAAATTCACAGATCCAAAAAGCTTGATGAGTAGTAAGCACAGGAACATAAAGAAAAATACAACAAGGCACATTATAATCAAATTCCTCAAAATCAATGATAGAGAAGATCTTAAAAGCACCCAGAGAAACATGTTACGTAAAGAAGAACCAAGATAAGAAGGAAAGCAGAATTCCAGGAGGTAAAAATGCAAAAGAGAGGACAGGGAGAGGAGTATTTTTCAAGCATTAAAAGAAGAAACTATCAACCTAGAATCCTATACTCAGTGAAAATTTCTTTCAAAAACAAAGGCAAAATAAATACTTTTTAGACTACAAAATCTGAAAGTATTCATCACCAGTAGACTTGCACTCTAAGAAATATTTAAGGAAGTTTTTCAATGCAGAAAGAATGACTAGATGGAAATATAGGGCTACCTAAAGGAATAAAGAGTACCAAAAATAGTAACTACATAAATAAATATACATTTTTTTCCTATTATTTAAATCTCTTTAAAAAAATAACTGATGGTTTAGGCAAAAATAATAAGGTGGTTTGGAGTGTATAACATGTAGAAGTAAACAAGAGCACAATACTTGGGAGACAACTGGAAGTACAGTGCTACAAAATTTCTTACTATAAAGTAGCATAATATCACTTGAAGGTAAAGTGGGATATATTAAAGATTTATACTATAAAGTTTAATGCAACCACTAAAATAAAGCAAAGACGTATTGCTATATGCCAAAAGAGAAGAATGGAATAATAAAAATAATACAAAGGAATGTATTAACAAATGAAAAGAGTACAAAGAGAAAACAAAAAGATATAAATGGTCTCAATACCCCCAATGAAGAAGGAGAGTTAGGAAGACTGAGTTTAAAAAAACAAACAAAAAAACAAACACTACCAACTATACGTGCTGGGCAGAAAAGACTAACAACAGATCTGGGACTGCTATCCTTTGAGAGGCCTGCTTTCAACGTTGGCCTCTGGGAATTGGGGAATTTGGATTTAAGAAGGGTTCTCATCACCTCATCTGGTAAGAGTAGCTCACTGTGCCTAACCTGTTTGTATAAACAAGGTGGTTTGTGCTAAACACCTGCTTTCCTTCTCCTCAGAGCCTGGGAGCTTGGCAAGTGCTTGGCTGAGGGTGCCCACATGAGTAGGCTCCAATACAAACTTTGGGCACTGTGTCTCTTACAGAGCTTTCCTGACAGGCAACACTTCACAAGTACTGTCACATTCAATGGTAGAACAATTAAGCACATCTTGTGTGCCTATTAGGAGAGGACTCTTGGAAGTCTGTACCTGGTTTCTTCCATACATCAACCCAGACACCTTTTCCCTTTGCTGTTTTTTTGCTTTCTTTCTTCCTTACTTTCTTTTCTTTCTTCCTTTTTTCCTTTCCTTTTGTTTCCTTCTTTCTCACGTATGTGTGTCTGTTTTGCTCTAATAAGCTAAAGCTGTAAGTACAACCATATGCTGAGTCCCTTGACTTCTCCTAGCAATCTGCAAACATGTTGTAATCTTAGTGACTTCCAGTATAGCTACCTACTAGAAATGTACTTTCAATAAAAAAATACAAATAGGTTAAAAGCAGAATGAAAGAAGATATACTATGTTAACACAGTATCAAAAGAAAATTAGAAGGTCTATATCAATATCAGACAAAGTAGGTTTCAGAGTAAGGAATATTACCAGGGATAAAAAGAGTAATTTCATCATGAAAAAGAGATTAATTCACCACAAGAATGTAAAGTTCCTAAGCATATATGCACCTACTCAGAGCGTTTCAAAATTCATTAAGTAAAAAGTGACAGAACTCAAAGGAAAAGGTAAATACAAAAACAAAGTAAGAGAATTCGATACCTCTCTCTCAATAACTGACACACCAAGTAGAAAATAATTATGTATATAGAAAATCTGAATGACACTATCAAACAAACAGATGTAATGAAATGAACATTTATAGAATACTCCACCCAACAGCAGCAAAATACACATTCTTTTCAAGACTATACGAACATTTAATAATAAACTTCATTCAGGGTTATACTACATGTCTCTAATTTCAAAAGATTCAAGTTTTACATAGTATGTTCTCTGACTAAAATGGAATCAAACTAGACACCAGTAACAGATCTCTGGAAAATCTCAAAATATCTGGAAATTAACATTTTTTAACTTTTTAAAGTATTTTTAATATTTATTTATTTTTGAGAGACAGAGACAGAGCACAAACAGGGTAGGACAGAGAGAGAGAGGGAGACACAGAGTTCAAAGGCTCCAGGCTCCCAGTTGGCAGAACAGAGACCAACATGGGGCTCGAACCCATGAACCATGAGATCATGCCCTGAGCCGAAGTCAGACACTTAACCGACTGAGCCACCCAGGCGCCCCTTAACACATTTCTAAATAACCCAAGGATCAAAGAAGAAATCAAAGGGAAGGAAGAAAGTTCTTGCACTGCATGAAAATGAAAACACAGTTTGTCAAAATATATACAAAGCTAATAAAGCAGTAGTTAGGGGGTAATTCATAGCATTTAATCCTCTATATTAGAAATGAACACAGGTCTCAAAACAATGACCTTAACTTCCACCATAACGAAGCAGAAAAAAGGAATAAAGTAGGAGAAAAAAATAAAGATCAAAGCAGAAATTCACAAGATAGAAAATGTAAAAAAAAATAAAGGAAAATTAATAAAACCAAAAGCCAGTTCTTTGATAAAATCAATAAAATTGTTAAACCTCCCCCCAGACTAATCACAGGAAAAAGAGAAGACACAAATTACAATGTATCATATACCATATACAAATATCACTTATGACAAAGATCACACCACATTCTAACATAAGAATAATAGAGTGGGGTGCCTGGGTGGCTCAGTCAGTTAAGCGTCCGACATCAGCTCAGGTCATGATCTCACGGTTTGTGGGTTGGAGCCCCACATCAGGCTCTGTGCTGACAGCTAGCCGAAAGCGTGGAGACTTTCAGATTCTGTGTCTCCCTCTCTCTCTGCTCCTCCCCTGCTCATGCTATTTCTCTCTCTCAGAAATAAAAAAACATTTAAAAAAAGAATAGAGGATTGCCATAAACAACTTGTTGCCAACAAATTCTACGAAAGATAAACTACCAGAGCTCACTACAAGAAAATAGGTAACTTGAATATGCATATATTATTACATAATCATTAAAAACCTTCCCACAGGGTTCCCCGGGTGACTCAGTCAGTTAAGCATCTGACTCTTGATTTCAACTCAGGTCATGATCCCACGGTTCATGAGATCCAGCCCAGCACTGACAGCATGGAGCTTGCTTGGGATTCCCCCTCTCCCTCTGCTCCACCCCCTCAAAAATAAACATTTAAAAAATAAGTATATGAATAGATGCTCAACACTGTTAGTTACAGAGAAATACAAGTTAAAACAATGAGATACCACCACAGATTCTCTACAACAGCTATAATTAAAAAGACTGATAATCTAAATGTTGGTGAGATTGTGAAGAAACTAGAACCCTCATACCATGCTCATGAGGAAAAAAAAATTAATAGTCACTACTCTGGAACACAGTTTGGCAATTTCTTCAAAAACAAATATACATTAACCATGTGACCCAGAAATTCCACTTCAAGGTATCCACCCAAGAGAAATTTTAAAATTTGTCTGCACAAAGACTTAATAAACAACGTTCATAGCAGGACTATTTATAATAGCCAAAACACTGGAACAATCCAGGTTTCCGTCAAAGATCATATAAGGAGGTACGTTCATAAAATGGAATACAATTCAGCACTGAAAAGGAACAAAGTACTGATATATACAACACTATACAAGTGAAAGAAAACAGATAATAAAGGTGAGATAGTGTATGATTTGATTTGTATGAAATTTCAAGGAAGGACAGAACTATAGACAAAAGCAGGTGAATGGCTGCCTGGAGGGGAAACTGCAAAGGCACATGAGGAAATTTGGGGGGGACATAAAACTGGATTGTGGTGATAGTTTCACAACGGTATGTATTTACTGTAACTCATCAAACTGTAGGATTACAAGGGGTGGATTTATAGGGTATTAATATGTCAATAAAGTTGTTCAAAAAAAAGTAAACTCTATACTCACCATTGTAGCCTTCAAGAACAGAATCAATAATAGGTCTTGCAGTTAAGTTATAAACATCGAGTTGTTTACTCTCTGGTCCAAACACAGTATCAAAAGTAAATGTCTTTGGAGGTTCATTGGAAGAATCAGTCTTATGTACAGTAATAGTTCCCCTCATCTCATCCACACTGACAGCTTGTTTATAGCACATTGATTTCTCTCTCTCGTTGAGGGGCCGGCACCTAACCACCACCTTCACATTATCACAGCTTTCAGGCTTCTCTGATTTATTGATCTAGTAGAGAAAATATTCACAAATAATGAAATGAATATTTACCTTTACCTTCAGCAAATTAAATTTAAAATTTTAAAAAGGCTACTTGGCATCTTAGTACCTTCCACATATCAAGCACTCCACAAGTATGTGTTAAATGCAACTAAAGACCTTACAGATATAAAGAAAAAACTTATTAAAAAATATAAAAGACAAATCTTTTTTTACAATACAAATGAAGGGAGAGAAAATCTAATTAACATTTATAGTAAAAAAATGCTATTCAAGCAGAAAATGAACCAGTATATTATGGACTGTCTTTCTCCATAAAAGTCCCTGACTTCCTCTGAGTTTCCTGCCTGTAGGAAAATACATGTGAACCTGGTTAACAACTTTAATCAAGAGTATAGTAGTAGGTTCCGTGTTCCCCTGACACTTTTATTTTCTACAATGCATTAGTAAAAAATTTTTTTCATCATGTGACTATATGTAGTCTATCTTCTCTATAGAAGAAAACATTAAATAAAACACAAAAAAGAAAATCCAATGGCAGAGAAATGTTTTAGTATGCCTCTGACCTTATGAACATCTGTACCTGTAAAGTTCCAATTTTTGAACTTTTATGATTAAGACTCTATGTTAAAATATAATCCTTAACATAGACAAATATTGTATGATTTCACTTATACATGGAATCTAAGAAAAACAAATCAAAACAAATGAACAAACAAAACAAAACTCACAGATACGGAAAATAGTAATTGCCAGAGGGGAGCAGGGTACAGACTGAGGTGGACAAAATGGTAAAAGGGATCAAAAGGTACAAACTTTCAGTTATAAAATACATGAGTCATGCATAAATAATATATGGCATGGTGACAATAGTCAATAATACATATTTGAAAATACACATTTGAAAGTTGCTAAAAGACTGTATCTTGACATGTCTCCTAAGGAAAAAAAATGTAACTCTATACAGCAATGGGTGGTAACTACACTTACTGGGGGGATTATTTCACAAGGAAACAAATAGTAAATCATGTGGTAGAGGTGAAATTATTCTATGTCATTTATTCTTCAATTAGAAAAAGTAAAGTTCAATCGTTTAGTTGAACAGTATCAAGGCAATATACTTCTCCCCTTCTCCACTTTCACCTCGTTAGTCTAGGTCACCAGTATCCTACCCTGCATTATAAGGCTCCAAAACCGTACACCTGCATCTAGTGAGGTTCTCCTACAGTCTGTTCCCTACAGGGCAGTCAGCTTCAACACAAAGTTAATCACGTCACTCCCTTAGTGAAAACTCTGCAATGGTTCCCACCGACATCAGCATGAAAATTACAATCCTTAAGGTGGCCTGTAAGATCTGTAAGCCATGGCTCTGGCCCGTGTCTACTGGTCTAGACTCTTTTCACAAGTTACCCTGCTTGGCTTTCTTAACCACAGCCACACGCTGGGTTTTTTTTAAGCCTTTTCTGTCACCACGCTCCTTCTTACCACAAACGTTTCCATGTGCTGTTCCTTCTGCCTAGAACATTCCTCACTCTCACCTCCACTTAGTCTCCGATCTCAGCAAAACAGCCACTTCACTTGGAAAGACTTCCCTAACTAGGTCAAATCCTGGTACAGGCCCTGAGAGCACCCTACTCTCTCCCTCTTCTACAACCAGTTTCAACTCTGCTTTGCTTTGCTTCATGTTTGATTGTCCTGTTTGTCTACACCAGAGGTTGCAAACTGGGACTCAAGGGACTAAATTCAGCCCACAAATACTTTTTGTTTGGCTCAGCATTTAAAGATATTTTTTAATTAGTTGCTAAAATTCAAAAATGGAGAAATTTCACAAAAGGAACAATTTCTAGATTCTCTTGGGGGGAAAAAAAAAAAGATGATTTGGGTGGCTCAGTCAGTTAAGTTTTCGACTTTGACTCAGGTCATGATATCGTGGTTCCTGGGTTTGAGCCCTGCGACCTGCTCGGAGCTGACAGCTCGGAGCCTGGAGCCTGCTTTGGATTCTGTGTCTCCCTCTCTCTCTGCTTCTCCCCGGCTCCTGCTCTTTTCCTCTTTCTTTCTCAAAAATAAACAAACGTTTTTAAAAATTTTTTTAAAGAAAAAAAGGTGATCTGACATCTTTAGGCCAGCGTTTCTACATGGGAACACTGGACAATTCACCAGAAGCTACTTTCTATTATATGCCACCCATTAATAATGAAGACGCTTCATTATTGTTAAGCGTCTTGTCTCTACCAACATGATTTTCACCTCTGCCCATTAAGGCAAGCTTCTATCTTCCCAAGCTCAAGAACCTGGCGGGTTTTGCTCAATATTTTACCTCCAGTGCCTAACATGTGATTGATACCCAGTATTTACTGAATGAACTGATAAGTAACTTGAAAGCAACACCACGGAACAAATAATGAGCATTTAATGCTAAATGTCAAGCACTGTCCTTCAATTCCGTTGTGCATCACCTCATTTCATCCTGCTAAAACCCCATGAGGAAAAGTTTAATTATGTCGTAATTAAAACCCAGAAATATTAAGTAATTGTCCGAGGCCTCGAAACCAGAAGAAAAGCAACCAAAGCTGTATGTGTTCTCCCCGACCCTATATTGGACTTAGGACGCCCCCTATTTAATGTACGATAACCTTCTGTGAAATCCTACAAGACAAACATACCACAACCCACCCTCGGCCTCACACACAAAGACACCTACGGTTACATTCTGGACTGTAAGCTAAAGCACGACGACAGGGTTGACAGCTCGAGTCAAGGGCTGGAGTAAGAGCAGGCAGCTCTCGTTTCGCTCCCTTCCTGAGCTGGGCTCCTAGGCGTCCAGAGCCCACCAGGTGTGGAGCATCCAAAGCCGACCCCCCGCGGCCGCTCCCAGGCGCCCTACTCAGTTTTGCAGGGCTGGGAGCGAGAGCGCATCCTCAGGCGCTGTGCCTTTATGTCAAGCAGCGCAGGCCCTGCGGGATGCAGCGCACGCGAAGGCTGCAGGGCCTGCCCGGGGCCCCTCCCAGGACCGGCAACAGCCTCTCGGGCCCGGAGCCCACCGCCTGGCTCCCCAACCGCTCGGGCCCGCGGAGCCGGACCCTGCCCCGCCCCACCCCAGCCGCCTGCCTGTTCCGCGCCTCCATGGCAACAGCCGCGCCCCCGAGCCAGGCCGCTGGGATGAGGAATCCCAGCGGCCGAGCGAGTCTCCTCACCGGCATCGTGTCTGCCTCCTGTGCCCGGCCGACGTCCCCGCCCTGGGCGCAGTCCAACGGCGCCGGGTTCGCGGGAGAGGTCTGTCAGAGATTACCGAAATACCGCCTTGGCGCTCTCGAGACTGCGGCTCCTCGAGCGAGGACAGGCTGTGCGCAAGCGCACTGTGGGATCGCCCCGCCCCATCCCCGGGCCTCAAGCTCCCTCGGCCTCCTGAATTACGCCTGCGCAGAGGCTTTCCGAGTCCGTCTCCTAGGACGCCGGAATCAGTCTGCGCCTGCGCAATGCTACCATTTGGTTGCGCTGGAATTCTGGCCCGCATAGGGAAGGGGGTACCTGACTGCTACCAGTAAGGAGGAGGAGGAGCTCCTAAATCCCCCGACTACCTTTCTGGCTTTTGCAATATTCCCAATATTAAAAACAACCTAAGAAGAAAAAAAAAGCAGTTGTACACTGTGTCCATCTGGAGAGCTAAAGACTTCGCACTCATGATTGCTGACTTGTTTATCACCTGTCTCTCTTACAGATGAGGACAGGAGTGGCTTTGTAGGTATTTTCACAAATGTCTCCAGAGCCTAGAATAGGACTTAAAATAGGATCTGGCACAGAGTAGGTTTTCAATAACTATTTGTGAAAGAACGAATGATCTATCTTGATCTATCTTCTTTCCAGTCCGAAACTCTGCTCTGAACACCAACTACTGCACTTGGATATGCGATAGGCTTTTCAAGATCATCATTCTCCAGAATTGAAAGATTGATTCCCGCCCCTGCCCACACACACGCTACTACTGCCCATCCCCACCCCAAACCCTTAGCTAAAGGTTAAAAAAAAAAAAAAAAAAAAAGGTGCCCTCTCAGACTTGCCTCCGTATAATAAATCTAAACTGAATCCTGACAATTGCTCAGGTCAAACCAGTCTCTTTCTCTCATATCCAACATCCAATCTTTCGGTAGAGCTTGTGTTACTGTCTTCAAAGCAAAACCATAATCTAACCCCTTCTCATTACCATCATCACCTGTCATCTGTATTACTACAACAGCTCAAAAGTGGTTTCCTTGAGTGCATCCTTGTCCTCTTTTAGTATATTTTCAGTACAGGAGCCAGAAAGATGGTGTTTAAACATGAATCAGATAATGTCTTTTCTCTATTCAATACCTGCCAATGATTTCCTGTCTCACAAACTGAAAGTCACAGGCCCTCTCCCCATTTCCTACAATCTTCCCTCTTGTTCATTATTCTGCACTAGCCACACTTGGCCTCCTTGGTTCAGTGGACATTCCGGGCATGGTTCCATCTTAGAACGAAAGAGCTTTTGCACTTGCAGTAAGAGATAATAAAAACATCTATAAGGCATTTTACTTAGTGCCAGTGTACTATTCTAAGTGCTTTACTTTCTTTTTTATTATTAATTTAATCTATAGGAAAACCTTTTGAAATAGGTACTATTAGTCATTTTAATAGAAAATAGGAACAACTATTTTACAGATAAAGAAACTCAGGCACAGAGCCATTAAGTAACCTGTCCAAGGTCAAACGTATGGGCAGTGACAAAGCTCATATCCAAGCCTAAGCCCTCGAAAGCTCTCCCCCTAAATATCCTCGTGACTTCATCACCAATTTCAGAATGTCTTTGTTCACATATCACCTTCTCAATGACCCCTACCATGATCGTTCTACTTAAAACTTCCGCTTTCACACCCATCTTCTTATCTCTTCTCCCTATTTCATATTTCTCTGTAGTACTTATCACCATCTGATATACTGTATATATAATATGTATTATGTAAATACATATACATAGCTTTCTTGAGATAAAATCACATATCATACAAGTCACCAATTTAAATCGTGAACTTAAATGGTTTCTATTATATACACAGACCATAACCATAATCAATTTTAAACATTTTCATCACCCCAAAAAGAGACTTCCAACCTTGCCAACATCCCAGCCCTAGGCAATCACCAATCTACTTTCTGTCTCTATAGATTTGCCTATTTGGGACATTTCATATAAATTGAATTATTTAATATGTGCCCTTTTGTGAATGACTTCTATCACTTAATGTTTTCAAGCTTCAGCCCTGTTATGGCATATATCAGTAATTCTTTACTTTTAAAGCTGAGTAATATTCCATTGTGTGGATATACCACATTTTTATACATGTGTCAGTTGATGGACATTTGGGATATTTCTACGTTTTGGACATTACGAATATTGCCGCTACAAGTTTCTGTGTGAACATGATTCATTTCTCTTATATCTAATATGCCTACAAGTGGAATTGCTGAGTCATTCAGTAACTGTACCGCTTAACATTTTGAGGAACTACTGAACAGTTCTCTACAGTGGCCACACCACCAGCAATTTTACATTCTCACCAGCAATGTATGAGGTTTACAATTCCACCACATCCTCACCAGCACTTGCTACTTTCTTGTTTTGTTTTGTGTGTGTGTGTGTGTGTGTGTGTGTGTGTGTGTGTGTGTGTGTTTTAATAGCCATACTACTGGTGTAAAATAGGACCCTATTGCGGTTTTGATTTACAATTCCTCGATAACTAATGATGCACCTCTTTTCACCTGCTTATTGACCATTCAATGTCTTCTTTGCAGAAACATCCATGCAAACCCTTTGCCCATTTTATTTTTCTTTTCATTATAAGGTTGGAAGAATTCCTTCTACATCGTAAAGAGAAGTCCCTTTTGGGATACACAATATGCATAATTTTTTCTCTGTGGGTTGCTCTAAAGTTTTTAATTGAGATCAAATGCAATTTATATATTTTTTATTTTGCTGTTTCTTTCATTGTACTTGTGTGACATATCTAACAAACCATTTCCTAACCCAAGGTCATGCAGACTTACTCTTCTAAGAATTTTATAGTTTTAGCTCATACATTTAGATCTATGCTGTATTTTGAATTATTTTTGTATATGGTATGATACAGGGATACAGCCTCATTGTTTGCATATGAATATCCAGCTGTCCTATCACCATTTGCTGAAAAAACTATTCTTCCCTCCACTGAACTACTTACTTGTAGCACCCTTGCCAAAAATCAATTCATCATGAATGTGACAGTTGATTTCCAGACTCTCCATTCAATTCCATTGATCTATATGGCTAAGTGCTGATACACCTTGATTGCTATAGGTTTGTAGTAGGTTTTGAAGTCATGTAGTATGAGACCTCCCTCCATCTTCGTTCTGCTTTATCAGGATTGTTTTGGCTATTCTGAATCCCTTCCATTTCCATAGACACTTTAGAAACACCTTGTAAATTTCTGCAAAAAGGCACCTGGAAACTTAACAGGGATTACACTCAATCTACCGATTAATTATTTGGGCAGTATTGCCATTTTAATGATGCAAGTCTTTTAATCTATGAACATGGAATGCCTTTCCATTTAGTTAGGTCTTCTTTAATTTCTTTCAGTGATATTTTATAGTTTTCAATGTATATTCTTTTTTATGCTATTGAAAATGGATTTTCTTTTTTTTTTTTTTAAGTTTATTTATTTTGAGAGAGACAGAGAGTGTGAGCAGGGGAGGGGTAGAGAAAGAGGGAGAATCTCAAGCAGGCTCCATGCTGTTAGACTAGAGCCCATTGCGGGGCTTTATCCAACCAACTATAAGATCATGTCCTGAGCCAAAATCAAGAGTTGGAATCTTAACTGACTGAGCCATCCAGGTGTCCCTGGAATTATTTTCTTAATTTTATTTTTAGATTGTTCATTGATAGTGTATAAAAAATTGATTTTCTTTCTAGTACACTGACCTTGTACTCTGAATTTTCACGAACTTTTCACTTCTAATAATTTTTTAGTGGATTCCTTAGGATCTTCTATATAAAAGATCTTTATTTCTTCATCTGAAAGATAATTTCATTAGACACACAATTCGAAGTTTGTAGCATTCTTCTCTCAACACTTTAAATATTTCGGTCCACTTCTTGCTTGCCAAGCTCTGAAGAGAACTGCAATGTAATTCTTACATCTTTGCTCTTTTATAGTAAGTATCTCCCCACTCTCCCCCCAGCTTCTTTCAAATGATATGCCTATACTTGGGGGGCATTTATCCTGCCTGCTCTTCTTTGAGATTCCTGCTTCCGTGGTTTGGTGTCTCATATTACCTAAGGAAAGTTTAAGTCATCATCACTTCAAATATTTCTCCTATTCCTTTTTCTTTCTTCTCCTTCTGACATTCCCATATATTTTAATGTAAATTATTGTAATGTAAACTTTAATAAAAAATATATCTCACATAAAGAAAAGTGCACAAATCAAAAATGCATGGCTTGATCAGTTTTCACAGGGCCAACACATCTGTGTAATCAGCATTTAAATCAAGAAACAGAACATTACCCGCTCCCTGGAAATTCCTTGTGTTCCTTCCCAGTCACTATCCACTGCCCTCTAACAATAACCACTATATTAACTCTCAACGTTACAGATTTCGTTTTTCTTGTTCTTATACTTTACATTAATGGAATTATACAGTATGACGTCTTTTGTCTCTGTCCCTCGACATTCAGTATTATGTTTGTGACATTTTTTTTCCTGATGGGTGTAGCGTTAGTCCATTCTTTTTCAAGTGGTGTAGTATTCCGTAGTGTGAACATACAAAAATGTGTTTATTGCATTCAATTGCTGATGGACATTTGAAGCTATTACAAATACTGCTGACCGTAAACATTATGTGTCTTTTTAGTGCACATGTATGAATTTCTGTTGAGCATATACTTAAAAGTGAAATCGCTGGGACTTCTGTATATTCTGTTCATGTTTATTATCTCTTTCTTGGCCAGAATG